CCGCGCTAAGAAAGTCTGGAAGAAGAGCGAGCCCGGACGGCCTCCCACCGCGCCGGCCAGAAGTGAGCGGCCACCTCTGGGCCGAGCCCGGCAGCCCGCGCCAGGCTCCGAGGCACCTTTAGCTAGCCGGCGGTGTCTGCTTAAACCAGGTTTAAAGGAAGCTTAGCAAGATCGTTTCCTCTCACTCTCACTTCCCTCGCGGGGTGGCTGCGGGAACCAAGGAGGGGCAGTCAGGGACAGGCAAGGGGGCCCCGGCTGCCCCTCTCCTCTGCCCGTGGGATCCCACTGGGGCTGGACTACAGTTCCCATCATCTAGCATACGGGAGCTGTAGTGCAAGGCAGAGTATTCTCGTAGCTAAGAATGGGAAGCCTACCTTGAGGCCATCTAGTCCAGCCCCTGCTTGGTCCAGGGAAGCAAATAATATGGGGACCAGCCCCCACCACCCCGCTCTCGGTCACGCGTTCCTCAACCCAGCTACTCCCTTAACTTGGATAGCAGCAGAGCAGGGGGATTCTGGGCACCATCCGCCCCAGCCTGCCTTGGCCGAGCCCATCTGCTTCTTGGCAGCGCTAAGGACAGCCGTGCTGCGTGAACGTACCTGATGTAGGCTTCCTCCTCTCTTGGGGGGCGGCGACCCTTGTGGGGGTCAGAGAGCTTGGATGCCCCCTCCATTCCCCTCGGTCTGGAAGCGCAATGGGTTTCCCCGTCTCAAGGGGGGAAGAGCTGGAGCGCCCCGTTTCCAAAACGCCCCAGTCGCGGGATGTGTGTCCACGACTTCAGCCCCAACCGCTTCCTTAGCTGTGCCCCCAGACTGTCCTGCGGGGCTGCCCCCCGTCCCCCTCCAGCAGCCCCGGGACCAGAGCCCCCAAGACTCAGCTCTCGCAGGACGCAGCCCGTGGCGGGGGCCCTGCTCTCCCCCGGGTTGGAAGCAGGGAGAGCGGGGGGCTTCGGCGGCGGCTCAGCCCCAGAGGAGTGGCGGGACATTCCAAACGCTCCAGACGAGCAGGGAAGGGGCGACCGAGGCCGCAGCAGGGGTCGCCGGGACGGTCCGTCCCCCAGGCTAGGAAGGACGCGGGAGAGCGGATTCCCACAAAAGAAGAGGAGGAGCGGGGCCAGCAGCCAGCGGGCAAAAAGGCCGGCCTCCGCTCTACAGAGCCTCCACATTCGAAGGCAGTATATCCCGGAATGCCAGATCTTGGCAGCCATCTCTATTTCACGGACCCCAAACCGCCCGCAACCCCCATGAAGGAAGGGACCCCAAACTAAGGCCGGCGGTGGGGAAGCCCCTCGACTTCAGCCCAGGGACTGACCGTAAAGGCTGCGCTACAGGAGGGAGGCGCAGGATGGACCGCGGTCCCGCTCCGCTCGCGGAGGCGCTGACTGACCTGGTTGCCGGGCGGCTGGTGCGAAGGCAGCGGCGGGGCCCTGGGCGGCGAGGGCTCCTTCCCTCAGCCTCCGCGCCCCCGGCAGCCCCGCTCAGGTGCCGCCGCCCTGGTGCCGGGGCGGAGGGAGGCGGCGAGGAGGGCGCGGCGGCCTCGGCGCTCCAAGGCCATCCTCGCAGGTCGAGGGACTCCGGGGCGCCCGCAGGCCCTTCCCGCGCCTCCGCTCAGCCTTTCTCGCCTCCCGCGGAGTTGGGCCCCCCGCTTTCCGCCACGGGCGCCCGGGCGCTTCTCTCCAAGTTCCCGGCCGGCACCGTTCATCCCTCGGACGACCCCAGATAAAGCTCGGTCCCGCCCCTCGCCCCCCGACGCCGAAGGGAGGTTGGGAAGGAGCCGGAGAAAGTGATTCCCCCTGGTCCCCAATGGCAGGGGTGGGTGGGCTTCCCCACCTCCTCCACGGATGCGGATAAAATAAGGGGGACCCCTCCCCAATTTCCCCCCAGCGTCGCTTCCTGGGGGTCTTGCTGTCAGGAAAGTTGCCCCTTCTCTCGGCCCGCCTTGGGGGAGAAGTCCCCGCCTCCCCCGGCCCGGCTGCTTCTCGGGGGGCCTGGGCAGCTGTGCCCACAATAGGACGGAGGGGAGGGGGAGGAGGGAAGGCGAGCGGCTGAATAGGGGAGAGGCCGCCTTCCGTCCCCGCTCAGGAGGAGGGGGGGCCGGAGCCACCCAGGGAGACGGGGGTCGCCCGTTGCCCTGGAGATGGGAAGGGATGCCAAGAAGGCCCCGGCGCCCGAGGACCCCCCTGGGGTTGGGGAGCACCCAGCCCGGGCCCCGGTGGGTTTGGGGGGGAGGCGCACCAGCTCCCGCTCGCATCCCCTTTTATGCCCCCTTCGGTTGCCCCGGGTGACGAGGCCGTGAATGGGAGGTATGGGGAGCCGGCGGCTTCAAACGGGGCCCAGAGAATAGAGACCCCGGGCTAATCCCTCCCGCCTTCCCCACCTCCTCACCCCCGTGCTCTGCCCGCCCCCTCCATTCATCCCGGCCAGAAAGAAAGGCTGCCAGGCCGCCTTCCTGAGTGTGTGCGTGTATGGGGGGGGGAGCGGTGTGCATATCCCAATTTTGGGAGCTCCCAACACGCAAGGAGACCCAACTGATCTTCCCTCCCCTCCAGACCTCCAGTTCCACTGGGATGACAGAACCAGGACAGGCTCTTCTCAACTCAACGCCCCCCCCCTTTTCAGGCTGGTCTCCTCTACCTTTTCCAGCTCTGTGCCAGACGGAAGTACAACCGGTGAAGCACTTAGGAAGCCCCCCGAAAACCCTCCCAGGGCAACCGTTGTTAGGGCATGTTCATTCTGTGAAAGGATTGGACTAGAATGCCCATTATCCACCGATCTGTGACTGCTTCCCACTTCCCCTAGGGAGTGCCAGGCAGGGGACGGACAGGGAAGATTTCAAGGAAAAGGGTCCTTTTGCCCCTGGAGGGGTTAGAGTTAAGGGTCTCCCCTCTGCAAACAGATCTTGCAAACTTTGCTTGACTCAAGTGGGGAGGGTCCAGGCTCAGCCTGGCATCCTGTGGGCCTCCCTGGAGCGCTGGGTGGGTGGGTGTCCCCAGCAGATTTGGAGAAAGGAGGCTCCGGGTCCCCCCTCTGGGATCTGACCTGGTAGAGAAAAATGGCCGCACTCCCTGAAGCAGCTCCCTGCGCTCCACTCTCCCCCCCAGAATTGCTGCTGGGAGAGGCACTAAAGACCCCCAGGGACGCTACCACCCCCAAACTGCCCAGCCTGATGGTTTATCAAGCCGTTTCCCAGGAGAGCCATCCCGTGATATATTGCCACGGGAGGCCGAAGAAATTCTCGTGGCACATTCTGTGCCTGGAGGCAACTGGGGGTCCAGGGCCGTCCTCCAGCCCCTGGAAGACCCTTCCCCACCGCCAAGCCAGAGCCTGAGTGCTCCCAGGGAAGAGACCCCCTCCCTTCTCCCCTTCAGGCGGGGCTGAGGGACACGGCTACCTTGCACACCCCGAGATCCTCCCCCCCTTGCTAAACGTAGGTTAAGCACAATTCACAAAAGTCCCTGGTGGAAATGGGTCAGCACATTGTGGGAAGTTGTGTGTTGCGTCCTTGCTCCCTGCGGAGGTTGTTGGGGGGGGGTTTACGGTCCTCTATTTTATGAATGCAGCCACTAGGTGTGTCAATCTAGTGGGTTTTAATGTTTTAAATGTTTTTTTTTAATGCATTGTAAGCCACCCTGCGTCTCCGGAGAAGGGCGGCATATAAATTGAATTAATAAATAAATAATAAATAAATAAATAAATCTGCATGAAGGCTGGGGAGCATTTCTGCCCCTCGGCCCTCGTGGGCCAATGCCTTCTGCTTAATCTGTCATGCTGGAGGGGGGGCGCCTTGTTGAGGGGACCAGAGAGGCCGCTCCCCCCTTAATCTTTGGAAGAGTCCCAAATGGTCTGAAGGGGCCTGTGAGCCCCCCGCTAATCCCCTACCCCACACCGTCCTTCCACGCACACCCCAGTAATCCTTTCAGCAAACATTGGTTAGTGTGCCTGCATCCCCAGCCCAGCTCTCTGTAATCCCTGGGAGGAGGGGGCTCGCTGACCCCCAACTTGCAGCTGGCACCTGCCCCCCCCCCACAAGCCTTTGGGGGAAAGAACCACAGAGGTCACGGACAGCACGGCCCCCAAGAGGCCCCTCTCCTTGGCGTCTCCTGGAAGCCACTGGCTGGTTTGGAGCACATATCCCCACTATGGGAAGGGTGCCCACATGATGATGGGCTGGCCAGAGCTGTGGCAAAGCCCCATCCAAGCCCGAAGGGGGCAGGAGGTGGGGCAGCAAAGCCCCTGCTGGCTGGTGGGAGAAATTGCCCAAGCTCTGCTCCCAGAAGGACCAATCCTCCCAGTGTAGATCCCATGGGGGACCCCTGGGAGACTAAAGGTGGGGACCCAGGAGAGGCTCCCCCATTTTCCCCAGGGTCCAGTGGGGTCTCCCAAAAGCCTCCCAGGAAAGCCGAATCGCAGGGCAGAGCCCGGCCCAAGGAAGCTGCCAGAGGGAGGGGCCTTCTTGCTCCCTATGCCAGGCCTGGCATTGATACCAGCCCTCCCCACACATGCCAGCCCTCCAACAGCAGAGACAGCCATGGGGTCCCTGGCCGATTCTGGAAATATGACCACGGGGCTGGGGGCTTTTTAAGGGTCTTGATCATCCTCCAGCAAGGTTTTCAGCCAGGCTGTTTATCAGGGGCCGAGATGGTAAGCAATATTCAAGAGGGCCCAGAGGGGGCTGCAGGTGGGGGTCCTTCCTGCAAGGAGCCTCCCAGAGGCCGGAAAAGCCTTTGGTGGCATTTGCACTGGCACTAGACCTGGGCCAGCCTTCCCCGCTCTGCTCCCCCCACCCCCGAGACCCCTTGGGAAGAGCTGCTTCCTGGCTCTGCTTCCAGTTCCAGGCTCCCTTCTACCGCCCAGCACTTTCCCCCCCTGTGCAAATCCCTCCGTGGGTAACTCCTCCGTGACTGGCAGGCTCCCCGGCTCCCCCTGGACGGGCGAAGGGACCTGCTTCTTCTCCGAAGCCTTCGCTCCGACACAAACGCGGCCCCTTTTTCAGCCTAAGTCTTATTGAGTGTGAAAAAGCACCTTTATTTTAATTCAACCGATTGCTCAATTAATCCACAGGTGAATATAAAACTCCTCCTAGCCACCACCAGCCTGAAACAGCAATTGTACCACTCTGCTGGGGGGGGGGGTGGAGGGGGGTGTGCCTGGGCAGGAAGAAGCTCCCTCCATTCCGTACAGGTCCAGGGCCCATCCTCTACGGCGCCCTGGCAGCGACGGGCATCGGCCGGGCACCAGGTCCGTCCATGGATGCAGCGTCTACTGGAAGAGGCCCAGGATCCTTCCTGGAAGTGTGTGACTGATGGTCTCCCCCAGCAGGGGGCGGCAGAGGCTCAGATGAAGAGGCCCCCTGGTGGAGGAAGCAGTGCTCAGAGCTGGGAAGATGAATGCTGGACCAGCCCCGTCCCCCCCCCCCCCCCACTCCCAGGCAGCCCTACCTGTCACTTCCAGGCTGGCCCCAGTGATATACCGGCTCTCGTCCGAAGCAAGGAAGGCACAGACGTCGGCCACATCTGGGGGGGGGGGAGGAGGAGCGGGGGGGGGGATCAGAGTGACCCCGAAAGAGAGCAAAGAGCAGAGCCCACTCCAGATGCCCCGGTTCCTGCAACCAGGCTGCTCTCCTAGCCACCAAACCCAGCTGCCAGATCTCGGAAGGAGCCCAAAAGCCCTTTTTCCCAGCTGAAGTTTTATTCTAAGGAAGAAGCTTCTGGAAAAGGGGCTTCTGCCTTCCGAGGTCTGGCTCTCACAACGCCTTGCGAGCGCCATTGGGGTGTTGCACCCAGATTTGGTCACCAGACTATAAAAAAAACGTTGAGACTCCAGAAAGAGCGCAGAGGAGAGCAGCCAGGATGGTGAGGGGACTGGAGGCTAAAACATACGATGAAGAACGGTTGCAGGAACTGGGCCTGGCTGGTCTAGGGAAGAGAAGGACCAGGGGAGACAGGAGAGCATCTTCCTATATTTGAGGGGCTGCCCCAGAGAGGAGGAAGGGGGTCAAGCTATTTTTTCCAAAGCCCCTGAGGTCCAGACAAGGAAGAATGGATGGAAACTGAACGAGGAGAGATTCAGCCTGGAAACAAGGAGGGATTTTCTGACAGGGAGAACCATCAACCCATGGAAGAGGAGTTGCCTTCGGAAGTTGTGGGAGCTTCATCCCTGGAAGCTTTCAGGAAGAGACCGGGCTGCCCTCGGTCAGAAACGGTGGAGGGCCTCCTGGTTGGGCTGAGGGTTGGACTAGATGACCTACAAGGTCCCTTCCAACTCTGTGATTTTGTTCTGTTCTGAGTTGAGCATCCTGTGTGGACCCAGGTGGGAGCTAAGGCCTTTGGTCCTCTCCTCATGCAGCCCAGGCTCAGCCCCTCCAGCAGGGACGCCTTTTCTCCCCACTGGGCCGATCGCTTCCTTGCCCCACAGCAGACTCCAGACCTCTTTTTTTGGGAGCTCCCCCCACACCCCAAGGGACGGACGGAGGATGGTCGCGTGGGAGGCAGAGAGGATCTTTGCCGAATGTCTCCCCAGGCCCAGATGACACGGGGAGGGGCAGCTTCTCCTGAGCGGCAGGCAAGAGGCACTCTGGGGGTGAGCAGAGGCTCCCTTTCCCTCCGGGTCCCCCCCCCCCATGCAGCAGCTGGATGGAGGCCTCACCTTCAGGCTCCCCCAGGCGTCCCATCGGCACCATCGCAGCAAACTGGGGAAGAAACAGAAGGAAATCGGCCACACGTCCCTGGGACCCCACCTTGTCTCTCTCTACACACACACACACACACACACACACACACACACACACACACAGAGGTCCTGCAGGAAGTGCTGACCTTATCCAGGACTTTGGTGGGGACCTTGTCCGTCATGGGGGTGCGGATGAACCCTGGCAGAACGGTGTTGCAGCGGATGCCGTACCTGGGCAAAGGAAACGGAGGAAGAGGAGGAGGAGGAAGAGGAGAAGGGACGGGGGGAGGGGCGCCTTTGGCACTTCTCTCTCTCACAGAGGAGACCCCCACCGTTCGCCCGCTTCGCACAACAGCACTAACGTTAATTGAAGCTTTTGTCCTCGCCTCTCCCACTAATGGCTCCCTCTTAGAGCAGACCCCATGGAGTACAGGCAGTCCTCGACTTATGACAGTTCATTTAGCGACCAAAGTTACAACGGGACTGAAAAAAGCAACTCGGGACCATTTTTCACACTTACGACCCTTGGGGTCATGTGATCAAAATTTAGATGCTGGGCAACTGATTCGTATTTATGACGGCTGCGGTGTCCCGGGGGTGTCCAGTGATGCCCCCAGGAGGCCTTCTGACAAGCAAAGTCAATGGGGAAGCCGGATTCGCTTAACAACCAGGTTACTAATTTAGCAACTGCAGGAATTCCCTTAACAAACGTGTCGAGAAAGGTCGTAAAACGGGGCAAGACTCACTTAACAAATTCCTCCCTTAGCAACAGAAATTTTGGATTCCATTGTGGTTGTAAGTCGAGGACTACGTGTGATAAGGACGGAGGAGCTTCCGGCTAAAAACTGCACCCCCAGAGGTAAAGCAGAGGAGGAGGGAAGAGGAGGGAGCCTGGCCAGGCAGGAGAGGAGGGTGAGGCAGTCTTTTGTGGAGCCCCCCCCCCCCGAAGGAACCTCACCTGGCCAGCTCCTTGGCCGCCGTCTTGGCCAGGGCCTCCACCCCTGCCTTGGAAGCTGCATAGTTCACCTGGCCCAGATTCCCCACCTGGCTGGGGCGAGACAGAGAGGTGGTGAAGAGGGGGCCCTGACGGCAAAGAGGGGGCCTGGAGCCCAGCCTCTCACCCCCCCGCCCTTCTTCCCCTCCCCCCCACCGGGAGCGACGGCCCTCGCACCTTCCCTACCACGCTGCCCAGGTGGACGATGGAGCCCCCGCTGGCCCCGCTCTCCACCAGCGCCTTCGCCACGGCCTGCGTCACCAGGAAGGCCCCCTGCGAGGAGGGAGAGAGAGAGGGAGAGAGAGAGGGAGGTCCTTGGTGGCCTCTGAGCTTTCTTGCAGGCTTTGCAAAAGAAGGGATGGGGAATAGAATAGAGAAGAGAAGAGAAGAGAAGATAGAATAGAATAAAGAATAGAATAAAGAATATAGGATAGAATCCGGAAGGGACTTTGGCTCAAGCAGGAGATCCTAGATCATTGCAGGCGAAGTGACTGTCCAGGAAAAGCCTCCATCTGCCAAAGGGGGCAGATCCAGGGTCATCCGCAGATGTCACCCAACCCTCCAGTGAGGGCTGATGGCGTTCCCTGGCTGGGTGATGAGACGTCTGGAAGGAAAGATCTCCCCGCCCTTTCATCGGTGGGGGTGGGGGAGGAGGGGGGGAGGGGGAGGCACCTTCAGGTTGACCCTCAGGACGGCCTCGAAGGCGGCCTCGCTCTGCCGCAGCAGGAACTCGTCGCGCGTGATCCCCGCGCAGTTCACGCAGACCGTGGGGGGCCGGGAGAAGCGCGCCTGCGCAGAAAGGGAGGTGAGGAGGCGGGGCCCTGTGGGGGAGGGGTTTGTTCAGGCCCCGCCCCCTCCCCCTCCCTCCCCCCCCACCTGCAGCCCCCTCAGCAGCTCCTCCACGCTCTCGGCGCAGCCCACGTCCACCCGCGCGGCCTGATGGTCCCCCGGCGGCATCGCCCGCAGCGTCTCGGCCGCCCCGGCCTCGTCCACGTCCGCCGCCGCCACCGTGGCGCCTTCGCGGGCCAGTCGGAGGCTCACCGCCCGCCCGATGCCGCTGCCGGCCCCTGCGAGGAGGGAGGGAGGAGACCCCCGTCAGGCCCAGCCAGGGACCCCCCGCCCCGCCCCCACAACCGACACGCCCCTCCCCCACCCCGCACCGGTGACCAGCGCCAGCGCCCCGCGGAGCCTCAGGTGCGCCGCCATGGCCGGAAGCCCCTTCCCGGAAGAGGGCGGCGCTCTAGGCGGCACTCTCGGTCCTCCCGAGGGAGCGCGCAGGCGCAGATCGTGGCAGCTATTCCCACCGAGATCCACCCCTCCCTCCCCGCGTGCAAATCCCTGGTCAAGCGCTGGGGGGCAAAAGTTCTCGCGCGGAGGGAGGGAGGGAGGAGAGGAGGAATGGCCCAGCTGCTGCAGGGGCAGGCAGACTCACGCACGCGCAGAGCGAGAAATCCGCCCCCCCTCCCTACACAAACACTGCAAAAGCCCCCAAGGGCTGCGGGGGTCCCCAGTGGCCCCCTCCCGACTCGGCCTGCCGGGAGGGCTCAAAGCCTCGGTGGTGGGGACGGGCCCGGAGGGACAGGTGGGGGCAGCTGCACAGGACCACCTCCCCGTCTGGGGGCGTTGAGAGGCAGTCCTCGACTTATGACTTACGCTTGAGCCCCAAATTTCTGTTAACGGCCCCCTTTTACGACCTTCCTCGCCACAATTGTTAAAGCCAATCCCAGCAATTGATAAGTTGGCAACCTGGTTGTTAAGTGAATCTGGCTTGTCGGGAGGTCGCAAAAGGGAGACTGCGTGACCCCAGGAGACTGCAACCGTCATAAACACGAGCCCACTTGCCTAGCGTCCGAATTTTGACCATGTGGATATTGCAGGTGTCAAGTTTCCGAAAGATGCCCTGTGTGAAACTTTTTCAGTGCCGTTGCAGGTTCAAGCGGTCACTGCTGTAAGTCAAGGACTTCCTGTATTGGGGAAGGAATCCCTTTTCCCACAGGGCACCCCGGGAATCATTCCTTCCAAGGCCCCAACCGGATCAGTTAAGAAGGGGGCGAGGGCCCTTGTGGGGCACTTTAGTGGGACAACGCAACGCATCACAACGCACAAATCGAGCCCTGTGGAAAGAGCAGAACGGAGCTGGATGGGACCTTGGAGGTCTTCTAGTCCAGCCCCCTGCTCAGGTGTGGCGGGAGAGGGAGGGACGTGGGAAGCTGCAGGAAGGGAGGGCGCTCAGCACCCCCACCTGGAGCCAAGTGGGGTGGGGGGCGTTTCCAGCATCTGGAGCACAAAGACCACAGGAGAACCTCTGGAGTCTGGACGTCTTTATTGAAGGAGTTCCTCCTCCCTTTCCTGGCTCCTCCTCCTCCCTCCCTCCCGGAAACAGAAGCCGGGTGGACGGCCACGTCTCCTTAGATAAGAGGCCGGGAGCCCTTGGCAGCCTTCCAGGGGGCAGCCCTTCGCCCATCCCACCACTCACCCCACCCGTCATATAAAAAAGGAGATACGAAAGAAATGTATACCGGAACCTTCTCTCTCACTCTCGCTCACACTCACACACCAACACCTGGACGCCATCTGGCTCCTCTGAAAGCATGATTTTTGTTTGTCCCCCCCCCCGCAACCCCCACCCCTCTGCCCCTCTTCCCTCAGCAGGCCAGGCGTGGGGAGGAAGAGACAGAGGGCAGGAAATGCGATCTGGGTCTGCACCGTCCAGCAGAAAGCTTGTGGGGGGGGGGGGGTTAGAAATTGCAAGGAAGTGCACAACTCGCTGTCATCCGCCTTCTCTCACTCACACACATACACACACACATACACAAACAGTACAGGTGCACCGGTTCCCAGGGTGCCCCGTGGGACAGACAAGTTGGTCCCCTGGATGGCCAGACCCGTTTCCTGCTCCCGTCCTTGCCCTGGAAGACAGGAACAGCCGGGGCCTTCCGTGGAGTCCTCTGGAGCAGCGTGGGGGGAGGGGGCGGGGGGGCACCCACGCGGGCAGGGGCGGCTCCTTCCAGCGGCCTTGCTGACCCCCCTCGCCCGACGCCAAATCTCCGCCTCGTCCTCTCTACTCGTATTGGGCGATGAAGACCATCATGACTACGCCGCCCAGCAGGCTCAGCACCTCCAGCAAGGACTGGACCGGTCCCGCCTCCTGCAGGAGCTCTGGGATCACGGAGACGGTGGCCACGTAGATGAAGCCGCCGGCCGTGAAGGGCAGGATCCAGGCAGTGGCCACCTCGCCCACGCCCTCCGCCAGCAGGGAGCAGACTGTGCCCGCCAGCGCCCCCAGGGCCGTCACCAGCTGCAGCTTCATGGCCTGGGCAGGAGAGGAGGCCGGTCAGCCGAGGCCAGGGAGACCCCCTCTGCCCCTCTTTGAACTAAGGACCCGTAGTGCCCCCCCCAGCCCTCCACACACACACGCCCATCCTCCCGGGAGCTACATTTGGGCCGGGGTCCACGAGGGAAGCCTCCCCACCCACCTTCCGCTTCGTGCAGCCAGACTGGACGAGGATGGCGAAGTCGCCCACTTCATGGGGCACCTCGTGGAGCAGCACGGTGAGGGTGGTGATGGCGCCCACGGTGCTGCCCGCCACGAAGGAGGCGCCCAAGGCCAGCCCGTCCGTGAAGTTGTGGGCGAAGTCAGCAGCCAGGTTGAGGTAGCCGGCCACACGCATGGCTGGAGGGGGGGGGGAGAGAGGGAGCAAGAGGTCAATCGGGATGCTCTGGCCGGATGAGCCCAGCACGCCCGCCCCTCCGGATGCCCCGAGCCCCCCTCACCAGACTCTGGAGGTGCCTCTGCCTTCCTGGCAGGGGGGGCGGCTGCTTTCCCTGCCGGCCCTCGGACCTCTTCCTTCTCCCCTTCGTCATCGCTGCTCTTGGCCTTGGCAGCTGCAGGAGAGGCGGAGGAAGCGTGTGAAGCAGGAGGTGGTTAAGGACGAAGCTGCCCTGATGGGTCCCCACATCTGCTGGGCCTCCCTGCCCCAAATCTCCCCGGGGGGAGAAAGAGGCTGGAGGGTTTCATCCACCCGGAGGAGGAGTCAGCAGATGGACCCAGAGCTGCAGCAGCAATGGCCCTTAGTCCGCTTCACAGCCCTCTCTAAGCGGTTTACAGAGCCAGCCTCTTGCCCCCCAACAATCTGGGTCCTCATTTTACCCACCTCGGAAGGACGGATGTCCGAGTCAACCTTCAGCCAGTCAGGATCAAACTGCTGGCTGTGGGAATGGGGAGGCTGCCTGCAATGCCACATTCTAACCCCTGCCCCACCGGAGGCCTTTAGGAGCTGCTATGGGGCACAGATTCCAGAAGGATCCCCCTCCCCATCCACGGGCAGCCCAGCAGCCGGCCGTGGCAGCCGTACCCACCGTGAGCGTGAGTGTGGCCGTGTCCCCCTTTGACGTGTCGGACGAACTTCTCCACCACCAAGAAGGCCACGAGGCCACTCAGGACCCAAAGGCCGACGGCCATTGTGTGCTGGTGCTCGGGGCCTGGAAGGAGGCGAGGGGCAACACTTGAGGGGGGGGGAGGGTTCTCTTTCTAAGGATTCCCCCCCACCCCATAAATGCTGAGGGAAAGAAAAGCTTCTCCTCCATCATTTGTCCCCCAGTTTGGCCACCGGGGAGGAAGGCGTCCAGACACCCACTTCAGCCTTTCCCCTCTTCGGCCACCAGGACTTTGCATCGCCCCCTACCTTGGTGGGAGTGGCCGTGGCCGGAAGGCTTGGTGTGGGAATGGCCGTGGCCGCCACTGCCTCCTTCTCCGTGAGGAGCGTGGGACTCTGCGGGGGGAGAGAAGCACCGGGAGTGGGGCCTCTCGGCTTGGGAGAGGGGGCCACCCACCCACCCACCCCCACGGACCCCGTCCCCTCCCCCTGGGGCCCGTCCCTTGCTGCTGGCTTCGGCAGCCTCCGTGTGGGGCCGGGGGGGGGAGCCCTGTGGGGCGGAAGGGGGGAGACTCACCCAGGGCGTGGGGGATGAGGTGCAGGAAGGCGTCCCCCAGGAGGCCCCCCGAGGCGAAGCTGAGCAGCAGCTTGAGCAGGGCCTGGTGCTGGGGGCTGTTGGACTCCACGGGGATCAGGAAGAGGATGAAGTAGGGGGCGGCGCTGATCAGGAGGGTCGCCCCGAGGGCCTGCGGGGGAGGGAAAGGGCAGGGTGGGCAGCCGCCCCTCCTCCAGCGGAGAAAGCAAAAGGGGGGGGAGAAAAACCCCTCCAGGATGCATGCTGGGAGAGACCCCCCCCCACCTCCACTTCTCTGGAGGCAGCCAGGAGGGCAGTTGCCCCCCCACCCCACTCAGCCCCTGCGGGGATCCCACCTGCACCCCACACCGGCTTTCCCTCCCACCGCAGAGACAGAGAGAGGGGGGGGGTTGGGGGGGGTGTTGCCCCACTCACGTAGCTCCACAGCCGGAAGGGCTCCAGCTTCTCCCTCCTGGGCGGGGCGGAGGGCCTGGGACCCCCGTGGCTGTGCGGGGGCTGGTGGGCGTGGTCCTCGTGGGAGTGGGCGTGGCCGTGGATCTCCTCGTGGGCGGGGTCTCCGGGGCCGGGGCCGTGCCAGATGTGCTCGTGGCTGTGGCCGTGGCAGCCGTGTCCCTGGTGTCCTCCGTGGGAGTGGCCGTGGAGCCCCTCGTGGGAGTGGGCGTGGTCCTTGTGGGGCCCCTCGTGGGCGGGGTCTCCGGGGCCGTGCCAGATGTGCTCGTGGCTGTGGCCGTGGTGTCCTCCGTGGGAGTGGGAGTGGCCGTGATGCGCGTCCCCGTGCTGGCCGGAGGCGGCACACAGCAAGGCCGCGCACACCGCCAGCGCCGCCGTCGCCCCCCGGAGCCCTCCGCCGCTGCAGCCGCCCATCGCCATCGCCCTGCCGGGGGAGACGCGCCTTAGCCGGGAGCCCCCGTCGCACCCGCTTCCCAGCCCCCCTCCCCCCGCCTCCGCTCTGCCCGGACTCTATGGCCGGGCTCCCCCCGGGGGGCCCCTCTGCGCCCGCACTCTATGGCCCCCGCGGGACCCCCAGGCTCACCCGGCTTCCAGAGACGCGCCGGGCTCAGACCAGACGTGGCACCCAGGCCCCGCCCACCGCGCCAAGGCCTCGCGAGAACATCCACGCGCCCTCGCTCTCCCGCCCGCTTCCGACATGGCGCCGCGGGGCGCCCCGCCCGCCACCATCATGGCGGCGACCGCGGCGGCTCCGTAGAGGAACGAGAGGCCGGCCCTTAACAAAGATGGCCGCCGCCCGGACTACGCGGGCGGGGAAAGTTTCCCTCCTCAGCCTCTCCGGTTCCGGCACCTCCGCCCTTGGCGGCACCGGAAGGCCTTTCGCGCACGGAAACTCTCCTCCTCCGCGCGGCCAGGGAGGAGGCCCCCGCGAGGAAAGGGGCCCCGCTCAGGCCCGCCGCGGAGCACGCCGGGAGTCCCCGCCGCGGCCAATCGGCGGCGGCGGTCGCGGGGCATGCCGGGAGTCTGGCCAAGGCCGGAGAGCCGCGCCGAGGGCCGCGCGGTGCATGGTGGGTAAGCGGCGGCGGCGGCGGCGCCCGGCGGGGGCGGGGGCGGCGGGAGGGAGCGGAGTCCGGGGCGCCCGGCGGGACCCAGCGCGGCCATGGGGGACGCGGGACGGGGAGGAGGAGGAGGAGCAGGTAGGGGCCGCCCCCGGGGGAGGGGAGGGGAAGGGAGGCGCCCCGAGGATCCCCTTCTGCCCTCGGCGGAGGCTCCGCGTGCCCGGCGGAAGGTCCCGGGACGCCCCGATCGAGGCTCTTCCCAACGGGGAGCCCAACGCCCGGAGGCCCCGACCGGCCCTTCCGCCGTCCTCGGCCTTCGCGGGGAAGGAGGGGCGGCCTCTCGAGGCTTCCTCCCGCGGGCAGCAGCCCCTTTTTTGGGGGAGGGGGAGGGGGCGGTGGGGGGGCTCCCAGGCTGACCGTGGGGGGAGGGGAGAACCGTCCCGTCCTTCAGGGGAGGAGCCTAGACGGAGCCCCGCCCCTTCGCCCCTGCGGGCTCTCTCCCCCCCCCCGCCGGAGACTTGATCTTTTTTGTGGGGAGGGGTCTCTCTCTCTCTCTTCATCTGCCAGGATCGGCCTTGAAGGCCCCCCCCCTTTCGCCTTGATCCCGGGAGGGGAGGGGTCCCTCTGAGCCCCTTTCATCCGAGGGGGCCGCGCTGAAGGGCCGGGAAGCCCCTTCTGCCCCCCCCCCTTTCTCCTCCTTGGGGGAGGACTGGCTTAGTTTGACAACCCCTCCCCGCCAGCTTCACCCCCGGAAAAAAGAGCCTTTTTTCCTTTTATTCCCCTTTTTTCCAAAGGGCAGCTGGACTTTCTGGCCAGTTTCCTTTTCCTTCCTCTGAAAACCTTTTCCTTCTCCTCCAAGAAGCTTCCCTGGTTCCAGTGAAGGGAAAAAGCTTCTTCTAAGAAGAGCGAAACGTCTTCCAAGACATTCCGGTTGCTCTTTTCCAGGGGTGGGGGGGGTGGGGGGGGAAGCATCTTTGGGAGAACCGGAGGACGGGGACTCTCGGGAGACGTTGAAGCCCTGGTGGTCTGGGCTGCTGTCAGTAGGGCAGCCCCCTCCCCACCCCTGGAGCTCTGTGGCCTTCCTTTCTCTCAGCCCCCCATCGTCCTCTCCCTCCCTCCCTCCCTCCCTCCCTCCCATCAAACCTAAAACAAAATAGGCTGGGACGCCGCTCTCAGCTTGCTCCGGTGCTGATCTCTGTCAAGAGAGAAATTCCCTCAAATCCATTTATTTTGCTGCCTCACCTCAGCTCCCAGCGTTGGCTTCTTCTCGGGTGCTGAGCCCTTCTGGCCTCTTTCGGCTGCCCCTTTTTCCTGACCCTCCTCCGAGGGGCCGCACCTGGCGAGTTGGCTTTGCCCAGGCCGGTCCCTCTTGTCCGCTCTGACTGGCAGCGATCGCTTGCCGGGATTTCGGGCAGCAGGCCTCGTCCCATCTTTCCGGAGCTGCAGGATCCAAGCCCCATTGGCACAAAGGGAAGGAAATGGTTCCCTCAGCCACACACACACCCCCACTCACTCACAGGTGTTTTTTTTTTTTTTTAAGACTTATGATTTGGGAAGGGAGCTGGCCAGAGGCAGAATTCGCCACCTGTGCCCACCAGGATGCGTGGCTGAACGTGGGGGGGCAGGAGAGGCCCAGGGGGGCTCCTGTCGCAGGAGGAGCCTCCGTCCTTCCCTGTCCAGGAGAAAGAACCAGCCCAGCCCTCCCGAGGGAGTGGGGGGGGGTCCTCAGGAGGGGCTGGGCCGGGCCTGGCTTCTCCAAGGACATGGCCAGTGGGGCAGCACTGGGGTTCTGAGCCCCCTTGCTGACGGTGGTTGCTGTGAGCAGAACGGGATGCTGCCTGGCTGCCCCTTCCTTGCTTAGCCCTGGCCCACCCAGGGAGGGAGCCCAGCTCGGGGACGGGGGGGGGGCTGATCCCCCAGGGTCTGTTTCGAGCTTTGCTTGAAATGCCCCCCCCTCACCCGAAGAGGTCTTCCCATGGGGCTGAGAGGGTGCTGTGCAGGGAAAGGTCAGCTCTGAAGGGGTGGGGAGAGGGAAAAGGGCAGTCCCGAGGACCCCTCCCCACTTCTCCTCCCTGTGTCCCAGGAAGCAGCGGCGGCTGGGTGCCAGCCGGTCATGTGACTGCCGAACGCCTTGCAAAATATCCGGAGAGGGAGGAAGCTGTGGGAGTCTGGGTGGGGGCTAAGGAGGAAGTCTTCAGGGAGAGACTCTGCAACCCGACATCTGGGGTGGGTGGGTGGGGTGGGTGGGGGCTCCAACTGTTATATTAACGTCCCCCCTCCTTTCTTTTTCCTCCTCCTCCTCCTCCTCCCCACCCTCTGAAGACTGCAGGAGTCCGGACAGCTCTTCGCTGAGCAGCTCTCCCCCTTTGCGGGGCCTGGGATCCTCCCCGCCGCCTGAGCCTCCCCCCCCTCTGCACCCCTCCATGATCGGCTCGGCCATGACCAGCTCCATCGGTGGGCTTGGCTCCCCCTTCCCGGTCATCAGCTCCTCCATGGGCTCCCCGGGGCTCCCGGCCACCCCTTCCATCGGCTACGGGCCCGTCAGCAGCCCCCAAGTAAGCAGGGACCGCAGACGATGGGCGGGCGGATGGGGCGGCAGGGCCCTGGGCCCCGGCTCTGAAGGCCCCTCCACCCCTTCCAGATCAACTCCACAGTCAACCTGTCCGGCCTCCACTCGGTCAGCAGCTCGGAAGACGTGAAGCCTCCGGTGGGCATGAGGGTCCTGCCAGGGCACCCCCACAGCGGCCTGGTGCCCGGGAAGCGGCTCTGCGCCATCTGTGGGGACCGGTCTTCAGGTAGGTGGGGCAGAGCCACCCATGTGTTTGCGGAGGAGGGTACCTGAACGAGGGAGGGTCTTTTGGGGGGAGGGGCTGGTCTTTGGATGGGCTGGGATTTTGCGGGAGGGAGGAGGCCATGCCGGGCCCGGGGTGAGCCCTCCTGTGCCCCACAGGGAAGCACTACGGGGTCTACAGCTGCGAGGGCTGCAAGGGCTTCTTCAAGCGCACCATCCGGAAGGACCTCACCTACACCTGTCGCGACAACAAGGACTGCATCGTTGACAAGCGCCAGCGCAACCGATGCCAGTACTGCCGCTACCAGAAGTGCCTGGCCACCGGCATGAAGCGCGAAGGTAGCGCAAGGGGGCGGCAGGCGGAGGGCCCAGGGGTGGCACCCCTCCCACTGCTTTCTTCCAGGAGGGAGGGGGGCTACCCCCCGGCAATGCCTACCACCCCTTTTGCATTCATGACGCAGCCGTGCAGGAGGAGCGCCAGCGGGGCAAGGAGAAGGACGGGGAGGGGGAGCTGGCTGGCACCGGCGCCAACGAGGACATGCCGGTGGAGAAGATCCTGGAGGCCGAGCTGGCCGTGGAGCAGAAGTCAGACCAAGGCGTTGACGGAGCCGGCACGGGGGGCAGCTCGGTGAGTTGGGGAAGGGGAGCAGCGGGATCAGAGCGGTCCCTCCACCACCCCACCGAAACAGACGAGGTAAGGGGGCAGGGTGGGGTGGAGGAGGGGGCGGGTGGGGGAGGGAGGGAGGGAGGAGGGGGAGCTGTTGGCGAGCGGCTCCGCCTGGCGTGGGGGGTCCCAGTGCTGGCTCAAGCGTCCCCCGTCCCACCCTCCACCTGCCTGTTGCCCCCCCCCTCCTTTTTTCCTGCAGCCCAATGACCCGGTGACCAACATCTGCCAGGCTGCGGACAAGCAGCTCTTCACCCTGGTGGAATGGGCCAAGCGCATCCCCCACTTCTCGGAGCTGCCCCTGGACGACCAGGTCATCCTGCTCCGGGCCGGTGAGTCAGCCTGGGGCCTGGCCTGGCCCTCGTCCATTCGGGAGGGTCTCCCGGACACTCACAAACCCCTGGTCTCACGGCGTCCTCTCTCCCTCCGGCAGGCTGGAACGAGCTGCTGATCGCCTCTTTCTCCCACCGGTCCATTTCGGTGAAGGACGGGATTCTGCTGGCCACCGGGCTGCACGTCCATCGCAACAGCGCCCACAGTGCCGGCGTGGGGGCCATCTTCGACAGGTGCGGGGCGGGCAAAGGGGGCTCGGGGGAGTAGGCTGCCCCTTGGGACCAGAGACCCCGGTTGCAGAAGGGCAAAGGGGACCCTCTGGGCTCTCCACCCCCCAGCTGAGCTTCCCCCACCAAAGGTGGCCCTTTTGCCTCCCCAGGGTGCTGACCGAACTGGTGTCCAAGATGCGCGACATGCGGATGGACAAGACGGAGCTGGGCTGCCTGCGTGCCATCATCCTCTTCAACCCAGGTGGGCCTTTGCTCATCGACAAACCCCCCCACCCGGAGAATCGCCTCCCCCCTCCTGGGCGTGACCCCCTCCCATCTTGCTCTCTTCCCTCCCCTCCCAGACGCCAAGGGCCTCTCCAACCCCGGGGAGGTGGAGCTGCTGCGCGAGAAAGTCTACGCCTCGCTGGAGTCCTACTGCAAGCAGAAGTACCCGGATCAGCAGGGGAGGTAGGGCTGGCGGGGAGGGGAGCTGGGCGGGAGACCCCCCCGGGCCCTCCCAAGGGGTGGTGGTGAGAGGAGAGACCTTGGCAGGGGGGAGCCTCCCACCCCCATCTCTGCCTGCCTAGGCGCTCTCTTTGGGGGGAGGGAACGAAGGAGGGTCTTCCTATTGCACTCCAGCCCCCGGGCCCTTCAAAGCCTTCCTGAGGAGGGACAAGAGCCCCCTCCTCCCCACTGAGGGCCTGACCTTCCCCCCCCCAACCGCCCCCCCTCCCAGGTTTGCCAAGCTGCTGCTCCGTCTGCCTGCCCTGCGGTCCATCGGGCTGAAGTGCCTGGAGCACCTCTTCTTCTTCAAGCTGATCGGGGACACCCCCATCGACACTTTCCTCATGGAGATGCTGGAAGCCCCCCACCAGATGTCCTGACCCCACCCCCCACCCCAAGGACCGGAGGATTGCTGCCAAGAAGGCCGGGAGCTCACCCACCCACCCACCCACCCACGCACGGTGCTCTGTGTTGAGGCCGGGGGCTGTACTTCCCAGCCACAGTGGGGTGGGGGCTAGCCCCCTCCCCGCCTTTGCATAAATCACGGGGTCCCCCTCAGCCAGCCTCTGAGTGCTGGGGGGGGTCCTCGCCCGGGAAAGGGGCTCCCTGTAACGCTGCTCCTCCCAATCGGTTTGCGTGAGACGCCTCCTGGGCTGGGGGAGGGATGTGCCAGGGCTCCTCCCCCCCCCTCCATTGCAGCTTGGGAAGTGCCCCCCCCCCCCAGCCGGCTTTTTGGCACTGGGTTTCTGGCAGCCCCGTTCCGGTTCTGAAGTGGTTCCCGTTTCTTGTGGGGGGGGGCTTCATTGAGTTCCCCCCCTCCTCTTCTGGCTTAGCACTTTGACTGTATCGGCCCTCATCTATGCAAGGGGCACGGCCTGGTGGGGGGGGGACAGAGCACGCCCTCATGCCAGACAGCCTGCTCGCCCCCTCCTGGCACAGGGGAGCCCACTGCCCCACGTCCTTGGGGTGCCCAGGGGCTGAGCTCCCCCTCTCACCCCCAAGAGGGTCGGGGGCTGCCCTGACTGTGGCCGAATTGGAAGCCCCTCCCTGCCCCACCCCCTCCCCTCCCTTGGCTGATGCCCTTCCCTCGCGCTCTGAGCACTGGCTTTGTAAGGCCTGAGGGGGTGGAGAGGGGGGGGGTCTCCCTCTCAGTCTCCCCCTGACTACAGGCTTCCTTCCCCCCTCCCCCATTTATGTGACCTCCCCCAAAGACCCACTTTGGGGGAGCTGTTGGTTTAATCAGCCTGCTTTTTCCAAAGGGCAAATCGTTTGCGCCCCCCCCTCCCCCCGCTTTGTTTCTCTTCCTTCCCCCATTTTAATTGTTTGGGCGCCCGGGGCACTCTCTTTGCTCCCCCTCCGCCTTACCCTCAATCAGGAATGCAGAACTTCTGAGCATGTGCAGAGTGCCAGGCTGCGATGTCGCCAGAGGCTGCCCGGCTATTATGGAAGAGATGGACCTCCGCCCTTTGAGGGGAGGGGGGGGCACGGATGTTGAAACTTTGGGGGGCTCCCTGAGCATCCCCTGGAGGGCGGCCACAGGCGGTTGGAAGTGGGCCACGGGGTTCCCCAGCCCAGGCGAGACCGGCGTTCCCGCCGCCTGCAAGCCGGGTCCTCGGACGGCCACCTCTGTGCAACGGACTACGTTTCAGTCGTTTGGAATCCTAGTTAGGTTTCTCTGTGGCTTCTGCTCAAACCTGGTTAATAAAAAACACAGCTGTTGTGTTTGCATTACGTACCACGCAAATAAACCATGCATTGTGGTTTTAAGGTAGTAGTCTGATTTCTCACTGGGTGCAAAGCCCCCCCCCACAGCTCCCCCTCCCCAAAAGACCGGCTCTTTCGTCGCCTGGGTCGGGGAAAGTCCCCCTTTTTTTGCTCCCTGCAGTTCTTCCCTCGGCCGCTGGGGGGAAGCCGCCCCCTCTCACCTGGGCAAGGGCCGGTTCCCCGCTGCGCCGCCTCCGGGGCGATTCCCTCGCCAGGCTGGATGTGGGGCGGGGGGCTCCTGGACCCCAGAGCCCCCCAGGAGCCCCCCCGCCCCCTTCAGGGAATTCCCCGCATACCGTCGGCTGGAAAAGGCGGCCCGGGCTCCGCGCTCCCCCCCCCCCCCCCGTGGCCTGGGCTGACCCCCGTTGCCGGCCGGGCTGCGCTCGTCTCCCGCGGGGGTTCCCGCCTCGTCCGTCTCCCGCCGGGCGGAGGCGGGGGGCTCCCTGCGCTGGGCTGAGCTGCGGGGCTCCTGAGCACGTGCAAAGGGCGCGAGCGCTCCGTGGCTGGCAGGGCGGGCGGAGGTTCTGCGGCCGGAGCCGCCACACCCGCAGCCCAGAATAGCCGGCCGCGCATTCCTCGCCGTCCTGCCGGCCTCCACCCAGGGCGCCGGCTCTGGTCAGGCTCCCCCGGGGGCCTTTGCCCCCTCGCCTTGCGACCGCACAGGGCTCCCCGCGCGCGCCGGGGTGGGGGAAAGGGGGGAGCTGGGCATTGGGGGGGGCACCGTGCCTTGGCCAGCTCCCGAGAAGGGGCAAAGGCAGAAGGGCTTCCTGGAGGGGGGGCTCCTCCCATCTGTCCCCCACTTGCTGAGCCAAGAAGCCCCCCTCCCCCCTTAAGACACCAGCAGCTCTTCCTCTGCCCCAGAGGGGAGGGGCCGGCCAGATCCTAGGAAGAAGGCTGCAATTAGGCAGGGTGGAGTGGGACGGCCGCAGCACCCCACCCACCCCAAGGCTGGTCCCCGGAGGGAGGGCTGCCCTCCCTCCCTCCCTCCCTCCCCTGCCTGCAGCTGGGCCACCAGAGACGCCAGAGCCCCTCAGGACGCCCCCTCCCCTCCCCCTTCTCAGGACTGGCCTGGGTCTTGCATCCACACATGTCACTTTCTCGCCCCTGGAGCTCCTTTCTCACGCCCCACAGGCTTCCCTGGTCTCCGTGGGTGAGGATGGCCGCCTCGGGAGACGCAGAGGGACCTGCCAGGGTTGCGCAAGGGGCACACTGAGACCCAGGCTCCTGTGGCCGAGGCTGGGAAGGGGTGGGTGGGCAACGGGAGGGCCGCCTGAGCTGCGCCTTGTTGGCTGCGGATGGCTGAAGAAGCTTGATACGGATGGATGCATATCATCGGAAGGATCCCACGGGCCTTTTCTGCAGCTGCATCACAGCTGGGGCTCACTTTGTCTGCCTGTAGCTGCCTTGGTTACTTTTTACAAATAACAAGAGTTCATGATCTTTTCTGCGGGTACTGTGTGCCAGTATGTCCCCCCCACCTGCCCCAAAACACCTGCCTTGGTCTGCCTTTGCATTCTGTGGGGCCCAGATGTCTTGTCCGAATCCAGCAAACGTCTCCCAGCGTACCAGCAGCTCAGAAAATTCGTAGGCCTCTTGCGAAAGGCTGCTCTGAGGCTCAGCTCAGGGGCCTCTGAACGTGGCCACTTTAAGGACTTGTGGACTTCCACTCCCAGAATTCCCGCATGGCTGGCTGGCTGAGGAATTCTGGGAGTTGGAGTCCACAAATCTTTGGCTCAGCTCAATGGCAGCAGAGGAGATGGTGTTGCCCCCGGCTGAGAGAGGAGGGGCAGGAGGTTGCTTCTCTTCTGGAAGAGTCTGGAAGGGTCCAGAGACCCCACTACCAGGTGGGGAATCTGCATGGGTAAGAGCAGGGGGGAGGCTCCTCATTGCAAACGAGGGAGAGGGTGGGGGGCCCTGATGCTATGCAGGGAGAGTTGGGAGGGAAGGGCTGCCGTCCCCACTGGCTCCACATCGGCCTGGCCCCACATCACACTGAGCCAGGGAGATGTTTGTTTGGCTCAGCCCAATTTAATGGCTTAATGACTTCTCTGGGTCCAGAGAATGACGGTTTGTGCAGGAAACCATGTTTTAAGGAATCACATTGTGCGACGCCAGCCTTCATCTCCTTCTGCTGGGTCAGGATCTGGCCAGATCCTGTGTGTGTGTGTGTGTGTGTGTGTGTGCGCACGCGCGCGCAGGGATTATGCCTGCGATAGAAGTGGGGCTGTTCTCCTGCTTCCAGTGGCCTCCTTGCCTGCCCCGGGGAGGGGAGGGGAGGGGAGGGCACAGCTGGGATTCCCCCTCGCAGCACCTGCTAGCATCTTTTGAGAAAGTTGAGGGTGTCACACCTGTAGCCTCCCCTGCGCAAGCAGGACTTCCCCCCTCCCAAGGCAGGGAATTCTGAATTTTCCAAATATTATGTTTGTACGATATTGTGGAGTGAGAAGCCTGATGCTGATTTCAGCTCCTTCCCCAACTGATCCTGGGAGGCTCTCTTGGCCCAGCACCCCCTCCTGCACCAGCCCCACAGAGAAGGACAGGAAGGCGGCCGGCTAATTTCGGCCTCCTAATTACAGTCTCTCTTCTGGACTCCTGGCTCAGCCGGAGGGGGAGGGGAGGGAGGCCCCTGCCGGCCGAGGAGAGCACTGTGAAGCGGGACCACATCTGCCGGAGGGACATCCAGCTGTGGCCAGAGAGGGCTTTCGAGGCAGAAGAGCTGCGGTCAGGGCAGGGCTGGCCGGGCACAGCTGCGAGAGAAGCGGCTGATGTGCAGAACGGGCAGCTATCATGCTGGGGCAGGGAGGGCAGGAGGGAGGGAGGTTCCTGGCTGCTGTTTGAAAATGGGGCCCTTGAGGGGATGGGGCGGCCCTCTTGTGGGATAACAGCAAATGCGCCTCTGCACGCACACACACAAGCACAGCCGCTCTGAGTACGGGGGCACAATGGTGGCCTGTGGAGCTCATGGCTACAAAGAGGGCCAAGGGCTCAGGTGGATCTAAAAGGGCCTGAAAACTCCTGGGGGCAGCGGGGCTGCGACTGAGGAGTTGGAGGAAGAAGGGAGGGCGGCCCCCCCAGTGCCCAGGGGAGGGGGCCAATGGGAGGAACCCCGTGCCAAGGGGGGCCAGACTGCAGGCCATTCTCCTATCAGCCGAGGGGGGGGGGTTTCCCCTCCTGGCCACTCTTTTACTTCATGGACTCCAAATGGGGCAGGCTCCCACTTCACGGTCTAGAATAGTGTTGGCCATCCAGAAGCCCTTCGCGGCCTGTGGGGGGTTTCCTGTGAAATGTCCAGACCCCAATGTCCTGGCCCTTGGGGCAGAAGCATCCAGACCCAAATGTGTAGAGTTCCAAGCTCACTACTTGATTGCATTCTGCCCGTCGTACAGGAATCTCCTTGGACTGGGAAGAGATAGACGGAGCTCCGTGCAGCTGAAGGGGTGGGTGGGTTTGAGTTCTGGACCCCCTGGCAGACAGCTATGCAGGGACTCCAGGCTAACTCTGGGTTTGAGGCGCTGCCCCCTCCCTGGCTGGGGGTTCCCCAACAGGAGCCTCTCTCAACAATGGGAGATGCCACCCCTCCCTCGCCAAGCCCACAAGGCTGCCTCTTGGCCCTGCCCACCTGGAAAATCTCAGCCCGCCCCCCCCTCCCCTCTCTCGGTAACAGAAACAACAACAGTAACAGGATAACACAATGGGAAGGGACCTTGGAGGTCTTCTAGTCCAACCCCTTGCTCAGGCAGGAGATCTTACATGATTCGGGACAAATGGCTGCCCAATCTCTTCTTAAAGACCTCCGCTGATGAAGCCCCTACAACGTCTGGTGGCAAGCCGTTCCACGGGCTAATTGTTCTCGTTGGGAAGTTTCTCCTTAATTCCAGGTTGCTTCTCTCCTTTTATTAGTATCCATCCGTTGTTTGTTGTCCTGCCTTCAGGGGCTTTGGAGAATAGGTGGAGCCCCTCCTCTTCTTTGTGGCAGCCCCTGAGATCCTGGACGGCTGCTATCATGTTCCCCCTTCATCCTTCTTTTCACTAGACTGGCCAACCCAATTCCTGCAACCGTTACTCTCCATATGCTTTAGCCTCCAGCCCCCTAATCATCTTCCTCGCTCTTTCCAGAGCACCTGCTCCCATCCTTTGGGCCAAGGGTGGGAGGATAGCAAGGGGGGGGGGTCTTCTGTCTTGACCCCAAAGTACAAGAGGAGCAGCTGCTGTGGGCCCCTGAAGAAATCCTCTTTCTTTGAGGGTCTCCTGGGAGATTGGACCTCTGGAGTTGGGGGGGGGCAGTTCTGGGTATTGCTGACATAGCAGGAGATTTCTGAGGAACTGGCAGCTGCCTGTGGCTGGGCTCACTTCCTTGAGCTGGGCACAGCCTGGGGAGGGGATGGGGGCTCTGCTCCCAGCATCTGTAAAGAGGCCTCTCCTTTGATGGGCTTTTAACGTGGATTTGAAGCTGTATTCTTACCACTTCCTAGGCTGTTCTTCAGCACCCCGTGGGGCAGAAAAGATGGGGCATCTCTCAAGGAAGTTACACCCCGCTCCCCCTGAAATGGGGAATGGAGGGCAGGAAGCTGCCCTCAGCAGCCACTTGGGGCTCCCCAGGGTCCGTATCACTGCAGAGGAAGGGGACAATCTGGGTCTGGGGGCTCCTTTGGGGGTCCGTGTTGGGGGAGGGGCGTTCGTGGGTGCCAAGCGGTGGGATGGGTGGGGGGCTCAAAAAACTCCATCTTTTTTGGGGGGGGCAGGATGGAGCTAGAGGAAGGGCAGGGCCGGAGGAAAGCGGGGGATGTCTTGGAGGACCCCCAGAGGAGATCTAGCGGGCTCCAGGGCGGGCATCCAACCGGTTGAGAGCCGCTCCAAGGGAAAGGAGACGGGGCAGGGCGAGGGAGGCGCCCACGCGGGAAGGTGGCTGGCGGGGCGGGGGCGGTCAGGCCAGGGCGGCCCTGGGGGTTGGGCGGGGCGGGGGCTGTCCAGGCCGGCCGAGAGGCAGAAGGACCGGACGGCGAGCCAGGCTGCCTGGGGCTGCACCGGAGCCACAGCGAGACCGCCGCTCCTGAGCCCCTCCGCCGACATCCCCTCGGCCCCACAGGGTCGCTTCGCCTCCGAGGGCCATGGAGCTCGCCCGGCGGCTGCTCGTGCTGGCGCTGCTGGCGCTGCCCGCCTGCCTGGCCGCTCAAGCAGGTAAGCGCCGCGGACGCGCCCTCGGGTCGCCCGCCTGGAGGCAGCGCCGGGGGGAGAGTTGCCCGCCCCCGCAGGCGCTCTGCTTGGGGGGGGGGAGGACCGAAAACGCTCAATTTGCGGGGAGAAGCTCGGCGGGGGCGCGAGAGCTTCTTTGGCCGCCGCTACCCGTCGAGCTGCCAGGCGCGCTTCTTGCCCCTCCACGCTCAGCACAGAGCGGGGCGGCGCTGAGGGGCCTTGCAGGGCTTCCAGTCCAGCCAAGGCAGACCAGCGGCCGTCCAGGCTCTGCTGAACCCCCCCCCCCCAAGTGACGGAGCGGCCCCGATGTCGGGCGGGCGGCTCGCCTGAAGGCCGGCAGGTGGCGGGCGCGGGTCCGACGGGCGCCGCCACGTGGTGAGGTGCCTCCCGTGGGTGGCTTGCCCGCCCGACGGGGACCGGGCAGGGAGGGGCGGGGGAAGCGCGGACGCGGCCCCGGGCTGGAGGGGCGAGCCTCCCCCGCTCCCAGCGCCAACAGGCAGCGCTTGTGCGGGTTGGCGGCGGGCGCGGAGCGTCGAGGCGGACGGGGAGCCGGGCTCGCAGCGGCCGCCTCGCCTGCCCTTCCCTCCCCGCTGCCCAGACAGGGCGGCCTTTGTGCGGCGGGAACAGAGGCCGAGTGTGCGGTGCGCTGCCTCCCGGGCGGGGCTTGTTTGCCTTTGGGCGGCGGCCCGAAAAAACTCCGCGGCGGCCGCCTCCCCCCCCCCGGGACTCTGCTTTGCCCGCATTTAGCCGGCGCCCCACTTGGCTCTTCTGCCTTTGGGGGATCCCCCCGCGCCCCCCGCCCCCCGCCCCTCTCAAGCATCCCCGGCCCTCGAGGGGGGCCGCCTAGAGTAGCTTCGGAGAGTAAAACGGGCACGGATACATTTCATAAATGAAAGAATAAGGGAAGACAGCCCCTCTCCCACTGCGCTGCCCAGATACTCATTGCCACTTGATGTTCCCTTGTCCCATTCTTGCCTGGGATGACGGGGTGGGTCAGCCAGGCAGCCGCCGCTCCCCTGAAGTCACCCTGCCAGGATGGGAACCCACTTGCACTGGGGAGCCTCAGGTGGAACAGGTGGAAAGGCGGGAGGGGAATCAGGCGCCATTGGGGGGGAGGGGGGTCTGGAGAGGTCATCTAGTCCATTTTCTCATGGGGGCCTACAGGGGACCTGGGAGGGACCAGGTTGGAGTCACATCATCATCTGTGTGGGGGCCAAGAATTGACAACAGAGGGATAATAGCCACCGGGCCACGGAAAGGGATTCTATGGCTTTACACACTTGGAGTATTTTATGCAGTTTTGGTCACCATGACACAAAATATGTGGAGACTCTGGAAAGAGTGCAGAGAAGAGCAGTGAAGATGATGAGGGGCCTGGAGCCTAAAACACACAAAGAACGGTTGCAGGAACTGGGTATGGCCAGTCTACTGAAAAGAAGGATTAGGGGAGACACGGTAGCAGTGTTTCAATATTTGAGGGGCTGCCCCAAAGAGGAGGGGCTCCACCTATTCTCCAAAGCCCCTGAAGGCAGGAGAAGAAGCAATGGATGGAAACCAGCCAAGGGGAGAAGCAACCTGGAATGAAGGAGAAACTTCATTGCAAGTTAGAAAAATTAATCTGTGGAACAGCCTGCCACCAGAAGCTGTGGGTGCTCTGTCCCTGGAGGCTTTTAAGAGGAGGCTGGACAGCCACCTGTTTGAAATGATGTAGGGCTCCTCCTTGAGCCGGGGGTTGGACTAGAAGGCCTTCGAGGTCCCTTCTAGCCGTAGAATTCTAGATTGTAATAGCAATAGCAGTTAGACTTACATAGTGCTTTCCAGCCCCCTCTAAGCCTCTGGCCCCCAACAATCTGGCTTTTCATTTTACCCACCTCGGAAGGCTGAGTCAGCCTGGAGCCTGGTGAGATTTGAACTGGCAAATTGCAGGCAGCTGGCAGGCAGCAGAGGTAGCCTGCAGGACTGCACTCTAACCACTGCACCACCTTGGCTTGTTGCGGTAATCATTGCCATTGGCCCAGCCTCCCACCTGGAGAATGATGGGGGCTTTGCAACCCTCCCAGACTCTCTTCAACGGTAAGCTGAAGCGTGGCACAACTGTATCTGTTGGACTTCTGTCTGTATGCTCTGTGATCCCACTGCTGGGCTTTTACCGGATGACTTTGGGCCCAGCCACTTTGTGCCAGCTCAGCTTACCCCGTAAAGCCTGGTCCATATGCCAAAATTCAGACAGAAAGTAAGTGAGGAAAGTTTCTGTCTTGCTGAGGTTTAGGGGACCTTACCTGTTGGGCTTCTGCCTGAACACCACTCTGAATAGATTCCAGCTGAAGTGTAGATGACTCCTCCCTCCCTCCCTCCCTCCCCTCCTTCCTTCCCTCCCTCCCACCCTCTTTCTTTCCTTCCTTCCTTCCTTCCCTTCCTTCCTTCCTTCCTTCCTTCCTTCCTTCCCTCCCTACATTTCTGCCCTATACCTTGTGCAAGAGACCAGTCAGGCTCAGTCAGGTCCAGCATGTGGTTCAAGAGACCAGGAAATATCAGCCCCCTTTTAGCAGGAAGAGGGGGGGGGGCTCAGCCCCTCCTTGCCAGCCCCTAGAGACCCCTCCGGACGGGATGCCAGGAGCCCTTTGCATTCTGACTCCTTGGAAGGCTGGCGGTGGGTCTGAAGGGCTTGGCCGCACTCAGCAAGAAGGGAGAGAGAGCTGTGATGGGGGGGAGGGGCTGACACCCCCACCCCACCCCGGTTTATACTGGGGATCTTCCCTGCTGGCTCCTCCGCCTGGAGTCCTGGGGCTGCACCAAAGAGGGTAAAAATAGCAGGATAAACTATGCAAAAGCTCCGTCAGGAACGATGGAGGAGACTTTGGAGTTAACACAGAGCTCTTTGTCGGCAGCAGCCAGGCTGGGCAGGAGGAATGTCCACCCCCCCAACCCCCCACCCCTAAGGGCAAAGGCAGCCCTCTGAGCCCGGAGCTCTCCGCCCGAGGTGGGGGTGGGTGGGGTTGTGGGGAGACCCTCAGATGTCTCTGTGTCGCCCCCAAACCTGGCAACGCTTTGCATCAAAGCTCTTTTAAGGACCCCTTCGCAGCCAGGACGGTCCAAGCTCTCCAGCACGGTTCCCTCTCAACTCCTGGGCAGACGCTGGCTGAGAGAGGGGCCTGTGAGGTCATCTAGCCGGACCTGTGGCCAAGCAGGAGAGCCTCCTCGTGGGCCCTGCAGTCTGATCCTTCCAAAAAAGTGAAAAAATAGTGAAATCATTCCCCTCCCCACCTCCGGAGATGGCTGGTGTGATATTAGGCACGGATGCCTAAGTTTGCCATGGGAGCGGGGGGTGGGGGAGCCCTACAGGTGAGATAAGGACAGAGAAGCAATTGGGGGAGGAAAAGAATTTTGGTGGCAAGAAAAAATAAGAGCCCCCCCCCGCCCCTCCTCCCCTGCTGTCCCACACTTGTGAATGCTGGCCTGGCAGGCTGGTCCGGATCAGGCAGCTCTTTGGGGCAGCTGGTGGGGCAGGAGAGGCTGCCTGGGGACACGGTCAGAGGGACTCAACAACTCTCGGCTTTCTTGAAGGTCAAGAGGTATTCCCGGTGGTGCCCTTTTCCCCAAAGAACAAAATGTGCCTAAGTCAGACCCCGTGGCCATGGAGGGTGGCAGCACAATCTTGGGGGTGGGGGTGTTTCTCTCTCTTGGGGGGGGGCTGCATCAACACAGGACGGATGTGTAGGAAACCAGGGTTGACAGACATTGATGCTAAACCATCATCATCGCTCAGCTTTCTATCTAAAACTCCAGAGGGAAAATGTTCCCACATGTGCAGCAGCTGCTCGTAAGGCCAGAGCTCTTCTGGTTGCATTAGCCATCAAGATTTGCTCCCTATATATTCTCAGCTCTACGGAATTTATTCATTTGTATTGATTGATTGGTATTTCCAAACCTCCCGCCTCCCTCAAAGAGGAGCTCAATAGATGGTGCACAATATAATATAACCCATAAATTTTAAAAATGTATAAAAATTAACATTAAAAATTAAATTACGGTTAAAAATTTCAAAATTGTACAGTAATGACAATTAAACATCAAAAGGGAAAAAAATATTCCTTTTCTTCCCAAGGGCCAAAGTTTTTTCCTGCCTGGAATCTGGGATTCCTTTGATCAGAAAATCCACCCAAAAATTATTTGTCCCTGATTTATTTTTCAAATGTTTAAAACTCTCCCTCTCTCTGTCTCTCTCTCTATCTATTTTATCATGTCTATCGTTATCTATCATCTCTCTATTTGTCTATCTTATCATATGTATATATCGTTATCTATAATCAATCTATCTATCTATCTATCTATCTATCTATCTATCTATCTATCTATCTATATCTATATCTATCTATCTTATCCCCTCTCTTTATCTATCTTATCATGTGTATATATCATTATCTATAACCTATCTATCTATCATCTATCTATCTACCTATCTATCATCTATCTATCTATCTATCTATCTATCTATCTATCTATCTATCTATCTATCTTATCTATCTATCTATATCTATATCTATCTATCTTATCCCCTCTCTTTATCTATCTTATCATGTGTATATATCATTATCTATAACCTATCTATCTATCTATCTATCTACCTATCTATCATCTATCTATCTATCTATCTATCTATCTATCTATCTTATCCCCTCTCTTTATCTATCTTATCACGTGTATATATCATTATCTATAATCTATCTATCATCTATTTATCTATCTATCTATCTATCTTATCCCCTCTCTTTATCTATCTTATCATGTGTATATATCATTATCTATAATCTATCTATCTATCATCTATCTATCTATCTATCTATCTATCTATCTATCTATCTATCTATCTATCTATCTATCTATCTATCTTATCCCCTCTCTTTATCTATCTTATCATGTGTATATATCATTATCTATAACCTATCTATCTATCATCTATCTATCTACCTATCTATCATCTATCTATCTATCTATCTATCTATCTATCTATCTATCTATCTATCTATCTTATCCCCTCTCTTTATCTATTTTATCATGTGTATATATCATTATCTATAATCTATCTATCTATCTATCATTTATCTATTTATCTATCTATCTATCTATCTATCTATCTATCTATCTATCTATCTATCTTATCCCCTCTCTTTATCTATCTTATCATGTGTATATATCATTATCTATAATCTATCTATCTATCATCTATCTATCTATCTATCTATCTATCTATCTATCTATCTATCTTATCCCCTCTCTTTATCTATCTTATCATGTGTATATATCATTATCTATAACCTATCTATCTATCATCTATCTATCTACCTATCTATCATCTATCTATCTATCTATCTATCTATCATCTATCTATCTATCTATCTATCATCTATCTATCTATCTATCTATCTATCTATCTATCTATCTATCTATCTATCTATCTATCTTATCCCCTCTCTTTATCTATCTTATCATGTGTATATATCATCTATCATCTCTATCATCTATCACCCTTCAATATGCCTCCCACCCTGGCACCCCTTCCCCTGGGGGTGGGCTGGAGCTGTGCTCCCAGTGAGGGCCTGTCGAGGCCCAACCTGAGTGGGGTGGAAGTGGGGACCCCCTCCTGGTTGGTCTCCAGCAGCTTCGGAGCCTTGTGGTGCCCCCCGTGTCTGGGGAGGGGTTGACACAGAAACTTGTAGGCATCACTTGGTGGCCTCCCCTTCCTGCCTGGTCTGGGTGTGGGAGAACCCATTTTGCAAGGGCCACCCTGCAGCCAGGGGGACCCCCATAACGGACGGCGGGGCAGCCCCCTTCACTTCCAGCTGCATCCCAGAGGTGCCCCCTTCCTTCCTTCCTGCTGGGTGTGTGTCCGTGTTTGTGTGTGCTTGTGCACCACGTGTGTGTGTGTGTGCGTAGTGTGCAGGCGTGAACAAAGAGCCTTTTCATGGCCATTAAAACGTTTGGCCTGGCAAGAGTGAAGGTGGGCATCGGATGTTTATGCTGATGCCCGAAAGGGGGGCTCTGCCTCACGTGGAGACCCCCCCCCAAAGGGAGGCAGCCTCCAACCTGCCTGGGGCCCAACGGGGCCCACTAAGCAGGGCCTCCTGAGACCCAGTGGGTGAAATCGCCCTGCGGGAACAGGAAGGGGGCTGCACCAAGGGGAGGAGATTTGGGGAGGGGGCTCCATCCTCAGCCAGCCTGTCTCTCTTCCTCCCCCTCTTACGCAGCTGACCCAGTGGTCGATGTCCTGGCGGTGCTGCAGCTGCAGAAGGAGCCCGAGGGGGTCCGCAAGACGCCCGGCTTCTGCCCGCAGAGGCGCACAGGGTCCAAGCCGGACGCAGCCTTCCGGATATCCAGGCGGGCCCAGATCAGTGCCCCAACGCGACAACTCTTCCCAGGTATCCCCCCGCCCAAGGCTGCAGGTGGGACGGAGGGACTTGAGGTCTCGTCTTTCACCCAAGCCCAGAAAGGCACTTAACCAGATAAACCAGGACACGGTGAACCCCGGATCATCAGCGCTGCAAGCAAAGCCTCACCTGGTGAACTCTGGCCTGCAGCGCTGTCCAGGGTGGGCGTCGCTTTTCTCCAACCGGCCTTGGGGACCCAGAGGCTGGGAAGGGGCAGCGGATCCCCCTCCCTCCCGGCCACAGATCCTGCCTGTAGCCGAGCCCCCTTTGTAGCTCCTCCCCCCCTCCCCAGGTGAGTTCCCCGAGGACTTCTCCGTGATGGCGCTGCTAAAGGCCAAGCCGGGCCGCCCCGTCTTCCTGCTCTCCCTCTACGACCGGCACGGCGTGCAACAACTGGGCGTTGAGCTCGACCGCTCCCCGCGATTCCTCTACCGCGACCAGAGCGGCCGCCCCGCCCCTGAGGACTACCCGGTCTTCCGTGGGGCCAACCTGACCGATGGCAGGTGAGTCCCCTCCGCCCTTGGGGGAGCCCGGTCAGCCCCGCCATGCCAGCTCCGGGGTGGGTGTCCTCCTGGGGGACCCTGCGAGCGACGGCCACGGAAGGCGAGACACACCAGACAGCCGGTCATGGCAGCGAAGCTTGTCTCTCCCGGGGAGGGAGGGGTCCCTAGAGGGGGGCCTTGCCTTCAGTGGCTGGACGGTTCTCCTTGGGGCGCAGAACAGCCCGTGGGACCCCAGAAGGCAGCTTCCATTGGGGGTCCCTGCGGTGGAGAAATAGGGTGAGATGGGTGGGGTGGGGTGGAGGAAGAGTCTCCTGATTCCAAGGGTCTCCAGGGCTCTTTCCTTGCCCATCAGCCTCCTCCCTCCCCCAGCTGGCTCAAGGCAATCCCCGGGTCGGGTAGAGTCTTGCCTGTAGTGGAAGTGGGGGTGGCTCCCCCTTTTTGGCCAGGTGCTCCAAGTGGAAGCTGGAGACCCTCCAATTGGTGGGGCTTGACTTCGGCTTTGTGCTTGGACCGCATGGGGTGGACTGCATGGCCTCACGGAGCCCTGTGGCTTTGGGATTCCCCAGCTCATGTTCCTGGGCTGCGAGAGGCCCCGGGACCTTCCTGACGCTGCCGGGGAGCGTTCAGTCTTGGGGCTCCCCTCCCACAGGGCCCTTTGGCTCCAGCTGGCAAAACCAGAACTGGAGACAGGGGAGAAAATTCGAGGCTCTTTGGTCCTTTCTCCCCTGCAGGCCAGGCTTCCTGCAGCTAAAGGCCGGAGGGGCTTTTGACTCTTCCTTCTATTTAAAATCTTTTGTGTCTGTGTGTGTGTGTGTGTGTGTGTGTCAGAGGAGGGGAGAGAGACAGGAGCAAAAGCAGAGAGTTTTAACTTCTGGGGCTGAGACCCACCGGGAGGAAAGGAGCGAGAGGCCGCTGGAGGCTCCTGCCCCAAACGTCCACCCGGAAAGCCAGAAGCTCTTGACCTGGCACTGCAGACGGGCAGATAAGTTGGCGCCTGGCAGGCTCCGGGCCCGACAGGCCAAGCTGGGTGCCAGGCGCCACTCTGCCCGTCCTTCTCTGGAGGCCCGGCTCAGCCTTCCGGTGCCCGTGTGGCCTGCGGGGGCTGAGTGGGGGGGGGCTGCCTTGTCCCTGCAGGTGGCATCGGGTGGCACTCAGTGTGAAGAAGAAGCAGGTGACGCTATTCCTGGACTGCAAGAAGAGAACCACCGTGCCCCTCCCTCGGGGGAACAAGCCCGTGCTGGACACCAAGGGCATCACCGTCTTCGGGGCCCAGATCCTGGACGAGGGGGTCTTTGAGGTAGAAAGCGCCCACCACCCCTCCCTCCTGCCGCCCTCCCCTGTTGTGGGTCTGAGCCCCCCTCAACCGCCCTCCTGTGCCTCTTCCCCCCCTCCCCCAGGGAGACATCCAGCAGCTGCTGATCAGCTCCAGCCCCCAGGCTGCCCACGACTACTGCCCGGACTGCGGGGGGGCCCCCCAGAAGCCCCAAGCCCAGGAAGCTCAGCAGAGGCCCCCCAGGCCTGAGGTGAGGAGGGGGACAACCTGGGGGCATCTTTATCCACTGGCCTTTGGCACTCAGGGCTAAAAGGAGGTTTTGTGGGAAGGGAAAGGACCTGCCCGCAGATTCGAAGCCCCAGAAAATTTTAATAAGAGGGAGGGGGGAAAAGGGGGAGCAGTCTGGGCTCTTCTGAACAGGAGTGAGGAAAACACAGCTGGACTCCATGCCACATCTGAATGCCAACGGGAGCTGTCGTGGCACAGAGTCAGGGTACTGAGCGGCTTTAAAATTTGATGAATAAATAAATGTATTTTTGTCAAAACCTCTTTGAACCCCGATGAAGCTTCCAGATGGAGGACGGAAGAGCTTCAAACTGCCTCAGGGTTCATAGGATTTTAGTCGGGAGGGACTTTTTGAGGCCATCTAGTCTGACCCCCCAGCACAAGACTCCCAGGCGGGTGCAGCCCAAAATCACTTTCGCCTTTTCTGCAGCCGCCTCACCCGGCTGGCTCAAAGTCTCTCTTGCAACCGAGTTTGTCCTTTTTCGTAAGAAGCCGATCAAAGCTGGCACGAAATCTCCACCCTGGACGGTTCATTTCTCAGTGCAGGATCTCCGAGCGATAAATAAATGACTTCAAGGGATAAATAAATCCAGGAGAAGTTTTGGCCTCCGAGAAGAAACTTCTGGGATTGTTTTGGCAACTTTCTTGGCCACTTGGGAAAGACAGAGGGCTTCTTTTAATCGCTTAATTATCAACAGATTTATATAGCCATCCATCTTCACACAGGTAAGTCCTCAATTTACAACAGTTCCTTAGTGACCGTTAAAGCGGCACTGAAAATAGTGACTTATGACCATTTTTCAAACTTATGACCATTGCAGCATCCCTATGGTCAAAATTCAGATGCTTCACAACTGACTCGTATTTATGACGGTCTCAGTGTCCTGGGGGTGGGGGGGAGGTCACGTGATCCCCTTTTGCGACCTTCCGACAAGCAGAGCCAACGAGGAACCCAGATTCACTTAACAACTGCGGCCAGAAATGTCGTAACAACAGAACAACATAGCGACAGAAATTTTGGGCTCAATTGTGGTTGTAAGTCGAGGTCTACTTGGAGTCAACAGCTAGAGCAGTTCAAACAATAATTAATAACAGGTGTAGTTACCAACTAAATTAAAAATAAAACTGGGAGGATGGGCCAGCATTTTACATACAGATGGTCCTCACCTTATGACCAGAGCCAGGACTAAAATTTCCCATTGCTAAACAAGTACAGCGCAGCCCTCTCCCCATATCTCTGGGACCCCCAGAACTGTTGAAACAACCAGGTTTTGGGGGATTTCCTAAATGCTGATAGGGTGGGGCTAAATTTACCTGCGGGGGAAATGAAGCATATTTTTTAGAAAATCTTTTTAGCATAATAACCTGGGAAGGGACCCTGGAGGTCTTCCAGTCCAACCTCTTGCTCCTATCCCATTTCAGGTAAATGGTTATATGTATATATTTATGTCTCCCCCAGAAAAGGGAGGGGTGCACCCACCAAATCTAGCAAGGAAGCTCCTGCATTTAACTGGGATTAAACCCCACCATTGTGGCTGGAACGGATGAAGGGAACTTCACTACAAACTTTGCAAAAACCGCTCATATTTCTCCCTGAAAGTTTCACGAGAGGCTGTAATGGATCTTCTCCCCAGGGTTCAATGGAGGGGGGGCTCATTCTCCCCCTCCCAACATGAGCCCATTGTGAATTGTTCTCCTCTGTGGGGCCGACCGCAGAGCTGAGCCCTGTGAAGTCCTGCCAAGCCACTCGCTTCAGATGAAGTCGAAAGATTTGGAGTTCTGCGTCCGGTTGAGAGAGTAGAGGTAGTCCTCGGCTGAAGCCCACAACTGAGCCCAAAATTTCGGTTGTTAAGTGAGACATTTCAGTGAACGTTGCCTCATTTTACGACCTTTCTTGCCTCGGTTGTTAAGTGAATCATTGCAGTTCATAAATTAGTAACCCGGTGGTTAGGTGCAGCTGGTTTCCCCGTTGACTTGGCTTGCCAGAAGGTCGCAAGAGGGGATCACGTGATCCCGGGGCACTGCAACTGTCATAAATATGAGTCAGTTGCTAAGCGTCCCAATTTTGATCACCTGATCACGGGGGGGAAGCTGGAAAGGCCATAACTTCCAACTATTGCTTAGCGCATTGTAAGCCGCCCTGAGTCTCCGGAGAAGGGCGGCATATAAATCAAATTAATAATAATAATAATAATAATAATAATAATAATAATAATAATAATAACAGCTGTGAAAACTGGTCATAAGTCACTTTTTTCAGTGCCTTTGTAACTTTGAGCCGTCACTAAATGGACTGTCGTAAATCGAGGACTACCTGTACAAGAGCGACAAAGAGGGTTAGGGGACTCGAGGCCAAAACGTACGATGAACGGTTGCAGGAACTGGGTCTGGCTAGTCTAGTGAAGAAAAGAGAAGAGAAGGACAGGATAGCAGAGGTCCAGTATTTGAGGGGCTGCCCCAGAGAGGAAGGGGGTCCATTTACTCCCCATAGCACTGAAGGCAGGACAGGAAGCAGTGGGTGGAAGCTCCTCAGAGAGACCTGGGGAGGGGGTGTCTCTCAGGGGAGTGGGCTCCATGTGTTCAGACACCCCCTTGGCCCCGCTTTCTGCTGGACCGGCCCTTGCTCCGGCCACCTTCCTCCATCGCTGCCTTTGTGGCCCCCGCTAGACACCGGCCAAGACGAAGCCCCCCACCAACGCCGAGGCCAAGCAGCCCCAGAAGCGCCAGCTGCCCGGCCCTTCGCCCACCGCCCTCAAGACGGACGCCCTGAAGGGGAAGCGGCCCGGTGGCCCCAAGGAGCCCCGTGACGGGAAAGCGCTCGGCAGCGGGAAGGCCTCGGCTGCCGGAAAGCCCCCCAAGGCCAACAGCCCCAGTGCTAAGGCGACGTCGGCCGGCAAGGCCTCTGCGGGGAAGAAGGCAGGGGGCCCGGCCCAGGCAGCCCGGGGGCCAAGAAGCAGCTACCAGCAGGTAGAGCCAGAGGGAGGGGCTGGGGTTGGCAAGTGGGGGAGGGGGGAGCCCCGAACAAGAGAAGCATTCCTCCTTGGGCTGGTCTGGAGTGCACGGGGAGGACCCCAGCTTCTCCAGCCCCCCTCCAGCTCCTCTTGAACCCTCCGGTGGGCCTGGCTCAGCCCTGGTTTCGTGCCCCAGCTGGGCGTGAGACCCTCCGCTTCCCCCATTCGTTGATTCCTCTGGGCTTAAATGATCCCCGTTGCAGAATTGGGCCCCGGAGCCCGACGGGGACATTTGCACTAACCAACTAATCCTCCCTTCCCTCTGTCTCCTTTCTCGCTTCTTTCTTCTCTGAATTCACCACCAACCCTGATTTTACCTCCGTTGGTGGGTGCCCCTCCCTCCCTCCAAGGACGCCGGTCCTCTTCCCACTGAGCAGCCCCGGGGGGCTCACCAGCACCCCAGCCGCCCCCCACCTCCTGAGGCTACTTCTCGGAAGGCCTCCCCTCCTCCCCTCTCGTCACCATGGGTGGAGGTAAATGACGGCCCCCCCCCGTGGCCCCAGCATGCTGGTGCAGAGGGACGTGGCCCAGGGGGCAGGAGGTATGGGGCGCGGGGCATCCCTTGCTGCTGGGCAAGGCTCCCCCACCGGTGGGGTGCCTGGCAAGGTCTCAGGTGCTGCGGGGCGCTTGCTGCAGACAACTTCCCTTTCCTGGGCTAACGTCCCGTTGGGTTCCCGTCCTGCCTGGGCCAGGAGGAGGCGGCCAAGGAGGAGGAGGAGGAGGGTCTCGTGCCTGACGTGGGTCTGGACCATGGAGACGGCGATCCCAACCCTGGCGAGATGGGTCCCCTGCTCTCAGCCCAGGCCCCCTACGATGCCGTCGTAAGTGGGAGCCTCCCTTGTGTCCTGTGTCACTGTCTCTGTGTCACCCTGTCCGTCCATCCGTCCGTCCGTCCGTCCATTGCCCGTTGCTGACTGGCTCTCCTGGCGCCATGATTCTGGCTGGCTTTGTGGGGGGTGGGAGTTTCCCTTCTTTTGTGGCTCTTTCGCTGAACCGTGTGATGCTGTGGGCACTTCTGTGTTTCCGGTCTGTGTCTTGTGTCCGTGTCCTGGTCTGGTCTGGTGGGTGGCTGCGGATTTCCTTTGGGCTTCCGGTTCCCAGCTGCTTTTGGGTCCCCTCTTGGTTGGCACAGGGGCTTCCTCCTGCCTTCCCCACCACCCAACACTGGGTGGCAGCAGCACCTCCTACCCCTTCCCCTATTTTGCCATGCTCTGAACCCCTCTCTATGGTTCGACCGGCTCTGGCTTCTCCTGCACTTGCTCCTGGATTCCCTCATTTGCATGGCTCGGTCACCTGTCTCTCCATTCTCTTATGTCCTGTGACATCACCCCGTTTGATGATGTCACTTCCTATGAAGTTATGTCACGTGACATCACCCCATTGATGATGTCATTTCCTATGAAGTTATATCCTGTCACATCACCCCATTGATGATGTCATTTCCTATGAATTATGACCTGCCCCATCTGTCATATCCTGCTTTTGATGACATCATTTCCTACTAGGATGTGCCCTGTCCATCCTTACGCCTTGATCTCTCTAACCATGAAGCTGATTTCCATGGAAATGCAGACAGGCCTTTTTCCCAGTATAACAATACCACTGGTCCCAGTCCCTGCTATACTGGAAAAGGCATTTCCTCCCCACCCCCCACAATTAGCACACAGTAATTCCAACCCCATTCCTTCCCGCCCCCCTCCCTTCAATCCAGAGCATTTCAAGAACATTTTTCAGAGTATTTTTTTCCTTAATAGGATTTGGTTCCAAATATTTTTTTCTTTAAAATCTTTAGAAATTCTTGTGTATTTTGACAGATTTTTTTAAAATTCTAAAGTAGGCAATGTGGGAGCCATTGGGTCCTCGTTTTAGAGATACTCTCTTACCGGATTCCTTGGTGCCTTCAGCCATGGCAGAACTTCTAATGGACTTGGAGAGTTCTTAATAATTCTTAAATATTCAGAGCTCCCGCCTGGACTGGAAGACCTGGGCTACGTCCAGAGACGATGGCCCTGCCTTCAAACGAGCCCTTGTTGAACTGGATGTCAAACATCAGCTCAGGAAATGTTTTATGACACTTTGCATTATGTCATAACCTGTTTTATAACCCCTGCAGTTTTCTTTTGGCAAGCTCCCCCCCCCATCCCAAGTGCTTTGCCATTGCCTCTTTCCTAGGGCTGAGAGAGGCTGACTGGCCCAAGGTCACCCAGCTGGCTTGGTGCCCAAAGTGGAACTAGAACTCACCGTCTCCTGGAACTGGCTGTCATTCATGCATTAGCCGTGAATGACTGGTTGACTGAATTCAGTCCCTGGGGTCGAAGTGCCTTTTCAGTTCTCCGTAGCCCTAGCAGCCGCATTTAATCATCTCTGTGAGTGTAGGGGCTTCAGGGGCTGCCCCAAAGAAGGGGGGGGCTTCCCACCTATTCTCCAAAGCCCCTGAAGGCAGGACAAGAAGCAAATGGATGGAAACTAATCAAGGAGAGAAGCAACCTGGGACTAAGGAGAAACTTCCTGACCGTGAGAAAAATCAACCAGTGGAACTGCTTGCCACCAGAGGCTGTGAATGCTCCAACACTGGAAGTTTTTAAGAAGAGATTGGACAGCCATTTGCCTGAAATGCTATAGAGTTTCCTGCCTGAGCAGGGGGTTGGACTAGAAGACCTCCAAGGTCCCTTCCAACTCTGTCATTCTATTCTATTCTAATGTCCCAAAGATGCTTTTTTCCCAAAAGGCAACTGGACTTTGTGGGTTCTTTTCTTTCTTTGAAAATGTTTTGCTTCTTATCCAAGAAACTTCTTCAGGTCAAAAGCTGAAGAAGCTTCTTGGATGAGAGGTGAAACTAGAAGAGAAGAGAAGAGAAGAGAAGAGAAGAGAAGAAAAAAGAAAAAAAAAGAAAAAAGAAAAGAAAAGAAAAAAGAAAAAAGAAAAGAAAGAAAAGAAGAAGAAAAGAAAAGGAAAGAAAAGAAAAGAAAAAAAAAGAAAAAAAAAAAGAAAAAAAGAAAAGAAAAGAAAAGAGAAAAGAATAACAAAGTTGGAAGGGACCTTGGAGGTCTTCTAGTCCAACCCCCTGCTCAGGCAGGAAACCCTATAGCATTTCCGACAAATGGTTTTCAAAGTGGGGGGAAAAAGCAAGAAAATCCAGTTGCATTTTGGGGGAAAAGCCCCTTAGGGCAGGGGTCTCCAACCTTGGCAACTTTAAGACTTGTGGACTCCCAGAATTCCTCAGCCTGCAAAGCTGGGAGTTGAAGTCCAGAAGTCTTAAAAGTTGCCAAGGTTGGAGACCCCTGCCCCAAGGGGACCCCCATGATGGAGACTCTCCGCAGATGTTTTCCCACGAATGTTCTCACAGTGGCCACTTTTTCTTCTCTTTTGATCCGGGGTGTGTGCACAATAGTCAGGATATTTTTGGGGGGGGGATCCCCAAAGCAAGTGGGATTAAAATAAAAAGCCTTAAATGAACCGAGGCGATGCATCTCGGTCCTTACGAAGAACCCTAGAAGGCAAGGGCTAGCAGGGGTCCTGGAGACCATATAGTCCACCCTCCTGCCCAGGGCGAAGGAGAGTCCAGCAACAGTTGAGCTGCTGCTGATTGAAACTCGGTAACTTTTGTGGGGATTGTGGTGGTTGTGCGAAAGATGTGTGTGTGTTTGTGTGTGTAAGGGTAGAATTCTGTTTTTCCTCCTGTCGGAGCCGCCCTTTGTGCCACTGAGATGGCTTGGCATGTGGCATCTCCCCATGTAGGAGGAGGGCATTCGGTGTGCCTGCGTGTTGTGTGTTTGTGTGCACGTGCTACAGCAACACAATGCTGACAATCTCCTTCTTGTGGCTACATGTGTGCAATCCCCAGGCAGTTCTTGGAGCCCGAGGCCTGAAGGGAGAGAAAGGGGAACCAGCTGTCTTTGAACCTGTAAGTCTCCGTGGTTGTCGGTGTGTTTGTGGGTGTGTGTGGGGGGGGTGTTGTGAGGCAGACAGCCTGAAATGTTGGCTCCACTCCCTTCCTCAGCCACAATTCCAGCTTGTCCTTTTTCCCTGGTCCCGTTTTGTCACCTTTTGATCTCAGAAAGTCCAGAGTCGTCTCCCCTCCCCCACGAGCCCCTCCCCACCTGGGACAGAGATGAAGGTGGCCAGTGGTCTGGACGTTGTCTGGACACCCCCCCCTTTCCCATGTGGCAGCTGGGGCCACCTCTGGCCGGCCTTGGCTGATGGGAAAGAAGATTGACAAATCCTGGGCTTTAAGGACAGGGATGGGAGGAGGGATGGGAGGCCATCAGGCGATCCCAGGGCAGGAAGGAACCTGGTGGGAAAGGTGGGCAGATCCCTTCCACAGAGGTCAGAGCTGGGCTGGTGGGAGGATCCTTTGCGGGGTGTGTGTGTGTGCAAATTGGCTTCCATGCACTTAAAGTTGATATTTTTCAACATTGACAGCTTGACGATGGGTGGACTTCAACTCCCAGAATTCCCCAGCCAGCTCTGCTGGCTGGGGAATTCTGGGAGTTGAAGTCCACCCATCGTCAAGCTGTCAACGTTGAGAAAGAGTAGTAAATGAAGACCAAGCCATTGGAGTGGAGAGCCTAGTGCCCAATTGCTGCCGGTCATTGCAGGGGGGGTCAAAGGTCAAGATTAGCATCCCTTCCTGGCCCCCCTGTCCTGGGTCTCCTTCCCTCCCTCCCTGGTGGGATGGGCCCCCGCTCCGAATCATCCCCAGTGCCCAGTTTTATGGCCAGCCATGCCAGCTTCTGACGGCTTCCCCGCAGGGAGGCTCCTTATGCCCACCTCCCTGGACAGAAGGGGGAGAGGGTCTTTTTTTTCGCCCACCTGACCTCCTTTTTCCTCTGCAGGGGATGATTGTGGCAGGCCGCCCTGGTCCCGAAGGACCCCAGGTAAGAGCTGCGGGCGCTGGGTGCTGGGAGGGGTCGGGCAGGTGGGGAAGAGACGGCTGAAGAGACGCCTTCTTCCTCTGCAGGGCGTGAGTGGGCCGCCTGGCACCCAAGGGACGCCCGGACCTCCTGGCGACCCCGGAGAGCGGGTGAGTGGGGCACCCTCCCCATTGGGGGTCTCGAAAGGGGCAGAGGGGGACGCAGGACGGGCTGGGGGCTGTGCATGTCCGCAGGGTAGGTACGCCTGCAGTCTCTGAGCATGTACAGAGTTCTACTATCGCAGCTCACCAGGCGCCCCCGATTCCGTCTCTTGGAATCACTGCAATGCCAATTGTTCCTGAGTCAAAGGTTAAAGGCACTTTGCGCATGGACCAAGACGCCCTTTTTCCCATCGGCTGCCCAGTCCAGTAATTCAATAAGGTTGGAGCTCGGGGTCTGTGGGGCTTCCCCCCCAAGTAGGTGGCCTGGAAGGAGCCCGAGGACTTTTTTGTATGGGTGAATAGTTCCCTGCCCCCCCCTCCCCCCCTCCCCGGCTGCCTTCCAGCTGTGCTGAATTCCAGGCTTCAGGGGGATGATGGGGGTTGTAGTCCGGCTAATGCAGAGGGCACCGTGGAAGCTGGAACTGACACTCCTCCTCAAGGAGGACTCCTTCTCCCATGGGTCCCGGCCAGGGATTGGGGCCCGGAGTTGTGTGTGTGTCGGGGGGGGGTGTCGCTGTGTGTTTGTGTGTTCCATCAGCCTCTCTGCCTCCTTCGCAGGGTCCCCCTGGACGAGCCGGATTCCCGGGGTCAGACGGACGTCCAGGGGCCCCCGGCACCTCCATGATGCTTCCGGTGAGTCAGGACAGGGAGGGAACGTCCGGGGGGGGCGGCGGCTGGGGGTCGGGTCTGCTCCCCAGTCCGGGAGGAAGCGGCTGCTGGCTCTTTTGTGTTCCTCCTGTGAAGCTCCCTCGATTCTCCCCTCCTGACCGCAGTTCCGCTTCGGGAGCCCCGCGGGGGGCCAGAAGGGGCCCGTCGCGATGGCCCAGGAGGCCCAGGCCCAGGCGTTCCTGCAACAGGCCCGCGTGAGTCCAGCCGGCCCCCTTCCTACGTTTATGGGGGAGGGGGGAACCGGAAGAATTCAGAGGAGCAAAATAAGCGTCCCCTATTCGGGAGCTCCCAATCCGGGGCCCTGCTTTTGAGCCTCTGGGTGCCCCCGACTTAAAGGTGGAGGATGGGTGAGTAGCTGAGAGGGCCCGTGGGGTCTCTGGGGTGAGGAGAAGGACACAGTGGGGGTGGGAGGATTCATGCCAGCCAGGTGTTGGACCGGGGGGGGGGGACAGGTGACTCCCTTTTTCTTAGCTCTTGGGGGGCAATCAGACAGGAAGCCCCAAACCAGCCTAGGTTCAAATAAAGGGGGGAGGCAGCTGTCTGGAGCCCCCCTCAAGCCCAGTGCCTGATGCTCCAGGGTCTCTGGGGGGTGTCTCTGCTTGCCTGACCCCTTTCCTCCCTTGCCACAGCTGGCCTTGCGTGGCCCTCCAGGACCGATGGGGTACACCGGCCGCCCAGGACCCATGGTCAGTGTGGGTGGGGGCTGGATATGGGGAGGGGGCAGTGGTGAAATCTAAAATTTGTTACTACCGGTTCTGTGGGCGTGGCTTGGGGGGGGTGTAATGTGACTGGGTGGGAGTGGCCAATTTTTTTTTTTTTTTACTTTTAAAACCGTTTTTTACATGTAAAACCATGTAAAAAATGCTTTCAAAAGGCTCTGACGATCCCCGCTGAGTTCAGGAGGGATCGTCAGAGGCATTTAAAAGAAAAAAAAGGCTCTGATGATTGGCAGGGGGGGCGGGGGCAGGGATTTCTCCGAACCGCCTGCCGCCATCGCTACCTACTCGCCCGAGCCGGTCTGAACCGGGAGCATTTCACCCCTGGGAGGGGGGCCCTTGGGCCCTTTGGTGCTTCAGCCTCTGCTGGGCCCCTGGCTGGGGAAGGCTGCCCGCTGCGTTTGGCCCTTCCCTCCCCAGGGGCCCGGCTGCCATATCCCCCTCCTGTTTCCTCTCTCCTAGGGTGAAGCTGGAGGCCCCGGCGTGAAGGGAGAGCCTGGAGATTTTGGGCCCCAGGTAAGGTGGACTGACTTGTGGGTCCCCTCCCCTCCACCCTTCGCTCTCTAGGGCAACCGATAACTTCGTGCTCTGCTGAGGGCCCACATGCAACCGGGATGTGGGGTGCCTGGAAGGGGGGGGTCCCCTCTGATGGCTCTACCAGCCCCCGGTAGGTCCCCCCTTTTTGCCCAACTAAATCTTGGTCTCTCTCTCTCTCTCTCCTCCTCCAGGGGCCCCAGGGGCAACAGGGACTGAGTGGCCCCCCAGGGAAGCCCGGCCGTCGCGTAAGTCCACTTTTCTTAGTTGAAGGGGAACACAAGTTGTGTAACAATCACAGCACAACAGGGGAGGAGGGGGAGCCTCCGAGCGGAAGGGGGGGCCTCCTCCTGACCCCCCCCCTGTGTGTCTCCAGGGCAGGGCTGGCGCAGACGGCGCACGGGGGATGCCTGGGGAGTCCGGCCTGAAGGTAAGGACCCTGTTTCCACAAGGGGGGAGGACTCGAACTCGGCTCTCCCACCCCTCACCCTCTGCACGAAGACGGTGCTGGCCTTGCAGCCAAGGGCTCTGGGGTCAGGCCCTCACTGACCTATGTGGGGGGACCCCCCCGGGCTCCCTTCCTTTGGGGGACCCCTCATCATCCTCCCCCATGCCCCACCCCCGCCTTTTTCTGCTGCTCCTGCTCCTCCCCCTGCGAGCAGAGCCAGGACGACTGGGGCGGGTCTCCTAGTCACCCCTGCGGGGGTCCCTTGGGGCCTCTGAGCCCCACATCTGCTGCCCCCGCCCCTTCTCTCACCCTCTTCTCCTGCAGGGCGACCGGGGTTTCGACGGGCTGCCCGGCCTCCCGGGGGACAAAGGATACCGGGTGAGTGGGGAGGAGAGTTGGGGGGAGGGTTGGGGGCCGCCGCTCTTGGTGGGGCCCCTCACTGTGCTGCTTCCGTCCTTGGCAGGGGGACCCCGGTGCGCAGGGTGTCGCTGGACCTCCGGGCGAAGACGGCGAGAGGGTAAGGCCTGCGAGGGGAAGGGGGGAGTGCAGACATCCCTCTAAAGAACACATCCCACCTTGAGGACTAGCAGCTTGAGCTTTCATACGGACCCAGGGGAGGTCCTCAGGGGGAGGGGCTCTGGCGGAGGGTTTCCCTCTGCCTCCATACACAGAAATGGGAGGGTGAAAATGGAAGCCGACTTGCCCCCTTGCAGACCCCCTTCCTTTCCCCCCACTGCAGGGAGACGATGGAGAGATTGGGCCCCACGGCCTCCCCGGAGAACCGGTGCGTAGCATCCCCGGTGTGGAAGGTGGGGAGGGGGCAGCAGGTCCTGTGCTCTCCCAGGCTTGCGTGGAGCAGGGCATTTAAAGACCCTCACCCATGTCCCTCACCTCAATTCCTTGGGGTTCCCCAGAGGCAACGAGTGGGGGGGTTGCTCACCCCCCCAAGGCTCCTCTGTGGGCCCGTCCCACCCATCCTGCCTTTTCTTTGCAGGGACCGAGAGGGTTGCTTGGCCCCAAGGGGCCCCCGGGCATCCCAGGGCCACAGGTAAGTGCTGGGGAGGAGGGACCCCCTGGGCCCCCCTCCCTCGGGGCTTCCTCCGGCCCTGCCACTGACCACTGGCTCTGGCCTGTCTTTCCCTTGGCAGGGCGTGCGTGGCGTGGACGGCCCCCACGGCCTGAAGGGGGGTCTGGTAAGTGGATGGGGGCCGGCTGGCCAAAGGCAAAGCAGCGGCTGTGGGTTTTGGGAAGTTGGCCAAGGCTTGCTGAAGAGCTTCTGAGCATGTGCAGAGCGCCTTCCCCACCAGTCTTTCTGCCAGCCTCAGGGGGTCGGAGGGAGCAGCTTCCGAGGTCTCGGGGTCCCAAAAAGGCCCCTCTGAGGAAGACGGGGCCCCTTCGCCACACCTGCAGCCGGAGAGGACGGCCCTTTGGGGCGGTGTGGTGGCCGGCCTCAGCCCCGGTGTTACAGGGGCAGTTGTCGTCGTATAGTGGCTGCCAGGGATGATGGGAGCTGCAGCCCAGGACTGGCGCTTGGGGGGTCCCAGGCGGAGGAAGGATGCACAGGGGAGGGGGCTCTTTGCATGTTCATGGACAGCGAGGGAGTAGATCCCTGCCAAAGAAGGGCTGGGCTGGATGGTCTCCAGTTACCTCTTAAGGGACTGATCTGGGAAGTTGAAACGGGATTGGCTCCCGGAAGGGACACCACCAGGCGATCCCAAACGTCCCCCAAACAGGCCAGGGAAGCCACTTGGTTTAGGCTGCTGGGGAAATATCTAGGGTGCCTCCAAGAAGCCCCCCCTCCCCCCAGGCTCTGTCTTGATCTGACGCCCCACCTCTGTTTGTCTGAACCAGGGTCCGCAGGGGAGCCGGGACCCCCCGGCCAGCAGGGGACACCTGGGACTCAGGTAAGTCCAAGAGGGCGGAGGAAGACTGGGGTGAGTGGCCGGCTGGGCGAGGGGCAGCGGCTGCTTCTCACAGGGGTCTATACCGCTCGTGGCTTCCCTGCTGTCAGTTCCTTAAGATAGACTGCTTTTGACTATGGAGGTTTGGCGGAGGATTAAGAGCCCCTGGTAGCTCCGCAGCCTTACCCGTGCCTTGAGTCCCCCCAGGGCAGCTCTGGAGAGAAGCAGCTGCCCCCCCCCCAAACACCAGGGGGCTCTTTAGCCCTTCATTAGCCCTGGAAAATGCCTGCCCCCCTCCCCCTCTTGCTGGGGGGCCAAGGGCAGCCCCACTCCTCTCCCCAGCAAGGGCTGTCTGGGGGGGCTGGTTTGCTAGATTCCCCTCCAGGTAGGCAGGTGGCGGAACAGTCCTAGCTGAAACTTTTCTGCTGTTGATGCAAACTTTGATTCCCGGTTTGGTTCCAGTTCGTCTCTGTTTGTGATCCGAAGCCTCTCAGGCACCCCAAAAACTGCATCTCCAGCCCTCTGTGTGTAGGGGGGGGGACAGGAGGGTCTTGGCCTCCAGGATGCCTCTCACCCCCCTTTTCCTTCCTTCCTTCCAGGGTTTGCCGGGACCGCAAGGCGCCATGGGGGCCCCGGGGGAAAAGGTGAGAGTGGGGGCAGTGGGGCAGGGGGCCCTCTATCCCCAGAGCCCAGGGCGGGGAGAGGCTTCCTGGCCTTCTGGCTCCAACAGGGTCTCCCCCTCTCTTGCAGGGACCCCAAGGGAAACCCGGCCTTCCCGGGATGCCCGGCTCGGATGGACCCCCGGTGAGTGTCCCCCATCGCCCCAACCTTGGCCTTTCTGGAGGGGCCCAACTCCTGAGTCTGTGCCCCGGATGGGGGGAAGGAGCAACGGGGCTGAAGGGCTGCCGTGGGGCAGAGTGGTCCCCTGGCAGAGCCCAAGGAGCCAGTGGGGTGTGGCTGAGGCCCCATGGTAGGGCTTCCCCAAGATTTTGGGGGCCCCCTGACCCCCTGCCCTCCTCTCCCTGCAGGGCCACCCGGGCAAAGAGGGACTTCCTGGCACCAAAGGCAACCCGGTGAGTGGACGGGCGTGGCGGCTGCCCTGGGCTGGCACAGCCTCTCCGGGTGGCACCCGCCTGCCCCGCCCGAGCCTCCCCAAGCTGCCCGCGGGGGCTGTGGGGGCAAGGAGAGCCCCTGGGGGTGAATGGCGGGCCATGGGAAGGGTGGCTCCGTGGCTGCCAAGGGCCCCATCCTGGCATGCAGCGCCATGAAGGGGACCCTCCCGAGCGGGCACTGCTGCCCCCCATCTGGGGGAGGGAAGGAAAGCAGCGGGGGTGGGGGTGGGGCTTTTGGAGGGATCTTAGAATGGGAGCTTCAGGAGAGGTTTTTTGGGGGGGCTGAGGGGGCCTCTCTGCCTGGGGGCATTTAAACGCTGTAAGAGCCACATTGATCATTTATTCATTTTTGATTGATTGATTGATTGATTGCAACTGCCCACCTCAACAGGTGACTCTGGGCGGCATATATGGGTCATATAAGTGGGGTGAGGTTGGGCTTTTCCCATGGGGCCCTTTTGGAGGTGCAATTCCACTTTGAGCCACCAGGGGGAGGAGCGTGAAGCAGCTATCCGCTTCCTCGGTTCTCCAGCAGGGGGCAGACCTGAAACAACTCCCACACACAGACTAAGTCCAAGCAGGGCAGGTTTCCTGCTTGGGGGGGGCATAATTCTTGGGGGGGGGGGTTGATGGTGAGTTGATGGTGTGGGGCCTGATCCTGCCTCTCCCCTCCTCCTTTGCAGGGCCCCTCTGGCCCCCAAGGCCTGGTGGGCTATCCGGGTCCTCGTGGAGGAAAGGTGAGCATGTGTGGTGACCACCCCCAGGGATCTTGTGGGGGGGGACTCAGGAGGAGGGCAGTGTCTGGCTTTCTTGGGTGGGAAGGGGGGGTCATGCTGGGTCTTCCCCCCCTTGGGGAGGGGCTGAGCTCCTCAGAACTGGGGGGGGGGGCTGGAAGCAGGGAGAGCTCCGGAGGGAGAATGGGGGGGGATGAGGGACTGAAGGGGTCTCAGGAGCCCACCTAGGCCCCCCAGTCCAGAAAAGGGCCCCCACCCTGCACATCCCGTGCGGCATGTTGTTCGTGCACTCAGGGACAACTTCTTCCCTTGTCCTGGGGTCGCTGCTGGGAAGCATGGGGCTTGTAGTCCGACCCATGTTGCTGAGTCCCGTGTTCCCCCTCAGGGTACCGATGGCGTCCGAGGCTTGAAAGGGCAAAAGGGCGAGAAGGTGAGAGCTTCCCTTTTGCTTAAGGCTCTGCCCCCCCCATCCCCCACAAGCCAGGCCCACCTCACTCGCATCCTCACGACAACCCTGTGAGGTGGGCCGGGCAGGAAGGGGGAGGGGGAGACGGGCCCAGCGTTACCTAGTGATTTCCACGGTGGGGTGGATTGGAATTTGAGTCCCCGTGTCTGATGCCTGATGCCTGCATTATAGACCCCCCCAGCCCCATGACGCAACCGGGGCTGCTTGAGGTCATCCAGCCCACCCTCCCTTGCCCAGACTCTGTTTTTCCTGCAGTTGTGGCTGATGGGTTTTATGCCCTGAATGGAGGGGAGACATTCGGGGGTTCCAGCAGGGCCTCCCCTCTTTTGCAAACTGACCCCTTCTTGGGGTGCCCCCTCATCCTCAGAGGAGGCAGATCTTTGGGGGTCCGGGTGTTTTCATGTGGGGTGCCCCATTTCCCCCCCCCCTTGCTCTGAACTGACCCTGCTGTGAATCACCTCGATGGGCACCCCTGGAGGGCAGCTGAAGCTCCCCATCTCTGAGCAGTTCCCCTCCGCCAGCCCCCCCATCAGAGGGGCAACGGGGGGGGGGGTCTGAGTGGAGTGGGGGGGTCCATTCAAAGCCCCCTCCCTTGAGCATCTCCTTTTCCTTCTGCTGTGCGATTCTGTCTCTGAGCTGGCAGGTTGGGGTTTCGGGGGTCCTGGCGCGGCTGTTTTGGGGTCCCACCTGTTCCTTTCCCTCCCCGCTTGCTGAACGCTGCCCTTCGGCCCCCTTCTTTCCTTCCTGTAGGGCGAAGAAGGCTTCCCTGGCACCAAGGGCGAGGTGGGGCCGAAAGGCGACAGGGTAAGTCCTCCCACGGGGGTGGGGGGTGGGGTTGGGATCTGGACTGGTTGGGCTGGCCCCTCGGACGACCCTCTGCCTTCTCTGTGCAGGGTGAGTTGGGGGTCCCGGGATCCCGTGGGGAAGACGGTCCCGAAGGCTCCAAGGGGCGGACGGGCCCCCCTGGCGACCCCGGCCCCTCCGGACTCACGGGCGAGAAGGTGCGTAATGGGACAGGGAGGGGGCTTCGGAGTTGGACCTCCCCCGCCTCCCCCACCTCTGCTAACCCTCCTTCTTCCCCTTCTGGCAGGGCAAACTTGGGGTGCCGGGTCTCCCCGGATATCCCGGCCGACAAGGCCTCAAGGTGAGTAGGGGTGGAGCGAGCGGGAGAAGAGAGCAGGGGGTGGAAGGGGAATCGGGGGCTCCCCGTTGGGGGTTGAACCAGCCAAGTGAGCTGGAGGGGGGGCTGGTCCCCCAATGGTGGCCCTCCCCTTGTTTCTGACCCCCCCTTTCCTCTTTCCTCCCCAGGGTTCCCAAGGTTTCCCCGGCTTTCCCGGGTCGAGCGGAGAGAAGGGGCTTCGGGTAAGTAGCACCCCTTCTTTTTAGGGGACCCTCCTGGGGCCACTCAGGCCTGGAAGGGCCCTCAAGGGAGCCAAGAGGAGGGGCCCCCGAGCTCCTGCAGGGAAGTGAGGGGGGTGCAGAGCATCCCACAGTCCCAGAATCTCTCAAAAGCCCCCCACCCACCCCCCACAGCTTCCCTCCTATCACCTTCAGTCTGCATAGTGTGCTGTTGTTGGTTGCAGCTCCAGCTGGGGTGTGTTTGTGTTGGCTCAACACAAGAGACACAACACAACACAAGGAGACAGATGGAGCCTACAGAGGCTCCATCTGTCTCCTTCCTTCCTTCCTTCCTTCCTTCCTTCCTTCCTTCCTTCCTTCCTTCCTTCCTTCCTTCCTTCCTTCCTTCCTTTCTCTTTCTCTCTTTCTCTGTCTCTTTCTTTCTTCTTTCTTTCTCTTTCTTCTTTTTCTCTCTCCCTCCCTCTCCCTCTCCCTTTCACAAAAGTTGACGTCAAAGGAAGTTTCTCTTGGACGCTTTTCCTAAGAACTCTGCACATGCTCAGGGTCCTTCCAATGCAGGATAAGGGGCCCTTGTGAGGGATCAGGAAGGAAGGCTTCCGTTCGTGTTAGTGGAGCCCCGGAATAGCCCCTCCTGGGATGTCTGGGTGCAGAGGGGCAGGGCGTGGGGGGGGGATGTTGTGGGGAGGGGGCTGCTTCTTAGGCTGGTCTTTGCTCTTCCCCTCCCCTCCCACAGGGTCTCTCTGGGAAAATGGGACCGCGAGGAGAACGAGGACCCTCCGTGAGTGACAGGGATGAGTTTGGGGGGGAGGGGTCTGGCAGGGGATTTGCCCCCCTTCCCTGCCCCTTTCCCTTCTGGCGCCAAGTGCGAAGGACGGGTGGAGGGTCTGGCGGGGTTTGTCACCTGCTGGTGGCTCTCAAGCGGGGCTGGGGTGGCCTCCGGGGTGCAGGGCTGTGGCCCCCGGACGGACGGACGGACGCTCTCTCTCTCTCTCTCTCAGGGCCCCAGAGGACAGCGGGGGCCACGAGGAGCCACTGGGAAATTCGGAGCCAAGGTGAGCCTGATGGTGACGGTGATGGGAGATTCGGAGGTAGACCGCTCCTGGATCTGGAGGTTCCATGTTGGGAAGGAGGGGAAAGTTGATAGATTTTCAAAATCCGAAAGAAAAATTTGGAGGGGAAAGGAAGCTAGTTGCACATACTGCTTGGGCATCTGTGCGTGATAAACTGGCACATTTACACAAACCGATCTCTGTGTCTGGAAGCTGCGATGCCCGGATTTGCGCAGACGGGCATTTCTTCCTGGCACCGCACCCTTCTGCCCCATCTGCACACAACTCAGCGGAGGGTTCGGCTGCCTTCATCCAACCTTTTTAACACTTAGCGTTGGTGCAAATCCTCCCACGTGGTTGTCTCTTACGCCGACGCAGAGAAGCTCAGGGCGTCCGGCGGGCTGACCCCGGGCACAGGGTCCCTGCCCTACGGCCTGACCCCTCTCTCTTCTCCCCCCAGGGCACCTCTGGTGGCGAAGGGCCCTCGGGGCCCCCAGGCGAACGGGTAAGCTGAGCCTCCTGATTTGGCCCTGTCCAGCAACTGGACCCCTGGCCTTAAAACACCTGGTGAAAGGAGGGGACCCCTCGCCCTCCGTGCTCCGCCATGGGGGGCTCCCGTCTGGAGGTGGATCGGGGAGGGGGTCTCTGTGGAAGAAGCTGAGCAGGTTCAAGAGCCCCGGAGACCATCATCCTTTCCAAGCCAGGGCTGCTGAGCTCCGTGGCCGTCTGGAGGTGCTGAGTTCCCGTTTGGGTCCAGCTTTGGGGGGGGGCACTGTGGCACGACCCCTAATGGGGGGGCTCTCCTCCTCTTCCTCCTCCTGCAGGGGCCACCAGGAACTCAGGGGCCGAACGGATTCCCCGGACCGAAAGGCCCCCCGGTGAGTCACGGACCCCTCCCCTCCTCTGTCCCCCCACTGTCTTTCCCCCTCCCCAGCCACTGACTCTGCCCCCTTTCTTTGTCCACAGGGGCCCCCCGGGAAGGACGGGATGCCGGGCCACCCGGGACAGCGTGGAGAAGTGGTGAGCGACGACCCCGTTATGTCCCTGCCTTGCGAGGGTCCCCCAGCCAGCTACTGCCCCCCCCTCCCCCGTGGGCTGATGTGGGGCTCAGATTAGCCCCCCGGGAGCCTCTCCCCAAACCCTGGCCCCCTCGACGTTTCGGAAATTGAACTTCCACTCGGCCTTTTAAAACGAAAAATCAGTCTTTGTTTTAAATTTTGAAACCCTGAGATCGACTTTTTAGATTTACGTCTGAATCAAAACGGTTCCTTCCTCCAGCACCCAATGGTTGAGATTAACATAATAATTTGTGCAAATTTCCTGGAGGTTTCATCGAGAACCGTTTTCTAACTCAAAGCAACCTCACAAGGTCGGTTTTCTGGGGAGGGGGGGAAGGGACTAGGAAGAGGCCACTTTCAGAATGAAAGAGTGATACAAATCAAAGAAGCCAATAAATCTAATAAATTACTAGCAAGACTCAGAATTCTTCAGTGCGCTCTGCACATGCTCAAGGGGCCTCTTCTTCTCCATGCCCCCCCCCTCACCTGCTTCTGGCTTTAGAGACTAACAGGGAAGACTCCGGTTTCACTTTGAGAGGGTTCCGGGTGCGAATTCCGCCCTTTCCCGGCTAGGCTGGGGCAACCGGGTTGGGCCCGGTTCAGAGGGGAGGGGGTATCGCTCCCCCCCCATCTCCTCCCTGCCACCCTCTCCTCTTCTGTCTCCCAGGGGCTGCAAGGCAAGGCTGGATCCCCAGGCGGCCCCGGAATTGTGGGGCCACAGGTAACGACGGATGCTCCCGGAAAAGGGGTGGGAGGGTGGGAGGGAGGGGCAGCAGCCCTTCAACCGGTCTCCATCCCTGCTGCTTTTTCTGACAGGGGTCCGCAGGAGAAACGGGCCAGATGGGGGAGAGGGGCCACTCGGGCCCCCCAGGACCTTCAGGAGAACAAGGCCTGCCAGGGCCCTCCGGGAAGGAAGGGACCAAGGTAAGCCCCCGTGGCCGGCCATGCAGAGGCTTCCTGCCACCCCTCCGTCCCCCTCCCCTCCCTTGTGGCCCCTACGGAGGGAGGGCTCCAGGGGACCTAGGGCTGGGCACCCACTTCCCCCATTTAGCGGCTGTCACCCCCCCCACAGCTGTCCCTTGTCCACCGGGCCCTCCCTGCGAGGGGTGGCTTGGCCGTGCAGAGAATCGGGGGGGTGGGCTGCCCTCGTCCTCCGCTGTGGGGCCGGGGGGGGCATTGTGACGCTCCGTGTTTCTTTCAGGGCGACCCAGGAACCATCGGAGGCCCCGGGAAGGATGGACCCCCAGGGCTACGGGGCTTCCCCGGAGAGCGAGGCCTTCCTGGCACGGCTGTACGTACCTGGCCTCCCACTGGAGCGATGGTTGGCGGGGGGGGGGGGTAGAGACCCCATCTGGGGAGGGAGCAGGAATAGGAAGTCCCCATAGAGTCTTTCTTTCTTTCTTTCTTTCTTTCTTTCTTTCTTTCTTTCTTTCTTTCTTTCTTTCTTTCTTTCTTTCTTTCTTTCTTTCTTTCTTTCTTTCTTTCTTTCATCCTTCCTTCCTCCCTCCCTCCTTCCTTCCTTCCTTCCTTCCTTTCTTTCTTTCTGATCCGTTCTAGAGGGGTCCTTGGTCCCCCTGGAAACCTTTCCAGGATTCTCCGTGCTGGATTTTCCCTCTTGCTTTGCCCAAATAAAAGGCTGTTTCTGAGAAGGCAGCAGGTCCTGCATCTACAGAGCCAGAGCCGGAGGCACCTCAGAGGTCATCTAGATTAGCCCTTGGCCCGAGCTGAAAAAGAGAAAGTGAGAGAGAGCCACCTGCTCCCGGCAGACCCCAGAGGGGCATCCCAGTGGCTCAGGGGCTGCCCTATGGCAACTGTTACTCAGTGCTAGACTGCTCCTGAGCTGGAGGTTTCATTGGTACTCCCCAGCTGCCGGCCACCTCCGTCCTGAATCTCCTGCCCCTTTCGGGTGGCCCTTGTTGGATTAGGAGGTGGTGGGTTGAAGGACTCTCTCTCTCTCTCTCTCTGCCCCCCTTTTCTCAGGTCTGATCCTCACCAAGCCCCCTCCTTCCTCTCCCTTGTCCCCCTCAACCTGGTGGGGCTCCAGGGCACGCAGGGAGCCCCCTCCTCCCCCAGGCAGTGGGGCAGAGGGAATACTTGCAGGCAATGAATGGCAAGACTCAGGGTGGGCTGAGGGAAAGAGGACCACTCGCTCGGGCCCCCTTTTCCAACAGGGAGCCTTGGGGGGAGGGTCTCCTGCTGACCCCTCCTCCCGGAGAGCCAAAATCCAGATCTGCCCTATGGCCAGCTTCTGTTGGGGTCAACAGCTACCCGTCTGTTTGGGGGTGCTCAAAAGGGCCCACCCTCTCCCCAGTTGGGGCCTACCAGAGCCCCCATTTCTGCATTGGGGCCCTGCTCCAGGGGCCCGTGGCCCTAAGGACAGCATCCTTCTGTGGCTCCTGAAGCAACAGAGCTGGTCACTCTTTGAAACGGCCAAAATTGGTCAGGAATGGGAAGACATCACCCCCCCCAGTCCAGACCTGAGGGTTGGGGGGAAGTGGAAGGCGGGAGAGAGGGGGTCTTGAGGGCTTGGGGGGGGGAGTCCTTCATCTGGGGGAAAGCCATCGAGGGGAGGTGGGCCGGCTAAGCCTCTTCTCTTCCCGAGCAGGGGTCCTCTGGACTGAAAGGCAACGAGGGACCTGCCGGCCCCCCAGGACCAGCGGTGAGTATTTTGGCCCCTCCCTTCCAGTCACCCAGGGATCCGGCTGTAGCCCGATCTTACTGGATCACGACCTCCTGATACAATCGGAAATTGAAATCTCCAGATCCTTCTGGGCCTGTGCTGGGCTGCTTCCTTAACAGACACCCCCCCAACCATCCCCACTGCCCCCCCAAGGCCAGGGGACTGCGGTGGGAAGGAGAAAGGGAGGGAGGGATCCAGCCTCAGCCCCCCCCCCCGCTCATGAGGGGCCCAGAGGAAAGAAGGAGACCCCCCCCCCACTCACTGCCTTGAACCCTCCCAGTAGAAGATTTCCAAGCTTTTGGTCCCTACCGTTTCTGCCTGGTCCCAGCCTCCTTCGCTGGCTGGGGAGGATGGGCTTTAGAGTGAGAGGCAGGGTCAGCATGGAAATCTCCTGCCTCTCTATTTGTGCCCGTCGTGTGGAGGCTGGGACTGACCACCATTTTCTTTCTCCTTCCAGGGATCTCCCGGAGAGAAAGGTCCCTCAGGATCAGGAGGCCCCGTTGGACCCCCAGGCAGACCTGGCCCCCAGGGGCCACACGGACCAGCTGGAGAGAAGGGCGTGCCTGTGAGTAGAGGCAGATGCCTTGTGGTGGTGGTGGGGAGACAGGGAGGGGACACTGAGGAGCTGAGGTTGAGGGTCTACAGGGGAGGGGGAGGGGGAGCTAGCGGAGGGGGGGACTCCATCCTCTCAGTCTAAGTTTCCCTCTTCTCCCCCAGGGTGAAAAAGGGCCCCTTGGCCCCGCTGGTCGTGACGGTGCCCAGGGCCCCATTGGGCTGCCGGGCCCTGCAGGGCCACATGGGGGCCCGGGTGAGGATGGTGATAAGGTGAGTGGTTGGTGGGTTGACCCGGTGGGTGCATCCCCGTCCTGCCCCCCCTTCCCTGGACTGAGCCTTCGTACTCTCTGCCTTTTCTTTGCCTCTGCAGGGAGAAGTGGGGGACCCAGGTCGCAAAGGGCCCAAAGGCGGCAAAGGCGAGCAGGTAAGCTGAACCCCTGCGCTGGAGTCGCAGTGGGGCGGAGGGAGGCGGGCTCTGCGGCTGTGACTCTGCTTGTTGCCCAGGTGATAAACTCCTCTTCCTCCTGCAGGGTCCCCCCGGGCCCCCAGGCTCCCTCGGTTCTCTTGGGCAGCCGGGTGCTGCGGTAAGTATCCACGGGGTTCCACGGGTGGCCCACCTCGTTTCCGGTTGTACCTCTGGTCCTCCGGGTGCCATCCCTTGGGGGTCTCTGGAGTAAGGCGAGGGGCCCCTCGGTGGAGACCTCCACAGGAAATGGGCAGGAGGGGGGCGAGGAGATCTGGGTGTGGCTCTCCTTTGGGTACCAGCTCTCCGACGGCCTCTTTCTATGCTGCCTTTAGGGTGCGGATGGTGAGCCTGGAGCGAGGGGCTCCCAGGGCCCTTTTGGGACGAAGGGGGACGATGGCATCCGAGGATTCAATGGGGCACCAGGACCGATTGGCTTACAGGTAACAGACGGCCGTGGCAAGTGTCACCCTGCTGCCCACTGATGAGCCGGACGCCACTCACACGCTCTTTCTCGACAGGGACTGCCTGGACCATCTGGGGAAAAGGGGGAGACCGGAGATGGGGGACCCCTGGTAAGTGCCACCGCCTTCCTCAAGGGGAATCCCACCCAGACCCCCAGACCGCCCCCCATGTGGCTCCTACCCAGCTCTGTTGTCAAGAAGTGAGATGTGGACGCTCATCAGTATTTTCTTGCAGGGACCCCCGGGACCCCCAGGACCACGAGGCCCAGCTGGGCCCTCCGGAGCTAGCGTGAGTGTGTCTCCCACCCTCTTCTCCATTTGATTCCTTCCCTCAATGGATTGCCAGGGCTGAGCCCGGTTGGATCTCTTTTTCCCACAGGGTCCGCAAGGCCCCCCAGGAGGGATCGGAAACGAGGGGCCGCCGGGACAAAAAGTAAGTGGGTTCTAGGGGTTGCTTGGCGGAGGGCAGTGCGTGGTATTTGGGGGGGAGGCCCAGAGGTGGCGGTTTCCCAAACTCCTTAGGAGGATCTCACATCAGACTGGGAGGATCTTGGCCATGGTCCTCGTGGCTCTCTCTGCACAGAATCCTTCCTCTCCTGTGGGGGACACTGAGACCCCTTAGACCAGGGCCCCCCAATCCCTGAGCCGCAGCCCATTCAGAACCAGGCCGCAGAAGCGTTGGGCGTGTGCAACAGGCGAGATTGCAAGTGCACACACGCAGCTCCATTTGTCTGAGCAGTGGGCACACGTACTTGCCACTCACACAAATGGAGCTATTCACATGCACACTTGTCCGCTGCTCGCGTGGAACCATTCCCCCCCGTCTGCCGCCCCGCTCGTTTGCAAAGCTGGAAATTTTGCAGGCTGCCCTCTTAGACGGATCAGCTCTCGCAACCTTTGCTTGTCCAGCCGGGCTGGACCATTGCTCCCATCATCCCCAACCACAGCAGGGAGAGTTCCCGCCCTCCTGGGAGGGCCACTTCAGGGCCAAAGGCAGCTTTCCTTAGTTGTATCAAGCGTATCGTTGGGATCACCGTGTCCCAGGAACCAAACAATTGTCCGCAACCAGCCGACTCCCCGGGACTTTGGAGGGTCAGGAGGCAAAATATAGCAGAGGAACACAAGGGGGGCCTGATCCACTAACCTCCCTTCTCCCATCCCAGGGCGAATCAGGAGAGCAGGGTGGACCCGGAGTCCCCGGAGAGTCCGGCCCGAAGGTGCGTCTCTTTCTTCTGCCCCCACGATTGCTGTGCCCCCCTGGACCTCTCTTCTCCTCCTCCTGCCCCTTGGCACCAGAGCAGAGCTCCGTGGCCCCGGGTCCCACGTGGAGCAGGCTTCTCACACCCTCCTGCACATCAGGGTGGGAAAGTGGGCCACCCCGTGCCCCTGACCCCGGGTACCACAGATCCCCCCCAATATGGCCTGGCTGCCTCCCCCCCCCCAGTCAAAGGCTTAAGAGGAGCTTTGGTGCAGCAGGGCGCCCTGTTTTCCACTTCCTGCGTGTTGAGCGGTATACTGCCCCTGCATCTGGAGGCTCCGTGTCAGCTCCTCAACTCTAATAGCCCCTCCTCTCTCCTCAGGGCCCGCGGGGTGAGCAAGGAGAGAAAGGGGAAGCCGGAAGCGCTGGTGTGGCTGGACCCCCCGGAGGGAGAGGCCCCGTTGGGGACGATGGGCCCAAGGGGAACCCGGTAAGGGAAACTGCAGAAATGAGAGGGGTGGGTGGGGAGGAGGAAGTCTGCCTCCCCCACTCTAGACTCATGTAGACTACGAGCCCCAGTAATCCCAGAACCAGATAAGAGATGGGATTTGTAGTATGCAGTCAGGGAAAGTTGGTGTAGCCAATTTATTGGTGAATAAAGCTGACATAATGGCAAAATCTGGTGGGTTTTTTGTGTGTTGGGGGGGAATCTAAGGGTTAATTGAGGATGAAAAGTGCTGAATTCAATATTTATCTGGGGGGGGGAGCGGAGACAAATGGGAAGCCGGACTCTGGTGACCTTTGACTTTTCTCTGGGCACAGGGCCCGGTCGGCTTCCCTGGAGACCCTGGACCCCCTGGAGGAATCGGGCCCCGGGTGAGTATGACCCTCCCCTCATGGCTGGACCCTCCCCCTCTGAGCCTGCCTCCACTAAGGCCAAAAGACCACCAGACCCATGTGCCTTTCCCCACAGGGCCAAGACGGAGCCAAAGGCGAGCAAGGAGAAAACGGTGAACCCGGAGAGGCGGTGAGCATTTGCGGGGGGTGGGGGTTAACTTTAGACACTATCTGGGATGTGGCTGGGTCGAAGCCCCCTGCCCGCTTTCCAGCAGGAAGCGGGCCACCTCTGCCCCATGGCTTCCCACTACACCCCCCTCGGTGGCCTCCTGCTTCTGCCCTGAAGCTCCTGTCTGTCCCTAACCGCTCTCCTTCATTTCCAGGGGTCTCCGGGGCCATCGGGTGAGGCTGGTCCCCCTGGGCCACTCGGGAAGAGAGTAAGTTGGGGGCCCACCTCATTGGGGTGGGCAGGAGATGGTCCTGCACAGGGACCTGGGATTGGGAGTCACAGCACAAGGGGAAGAGAAAGGCAGCCAGGGCCCATCCAAGGCCCCCAGCAAAAGACCACCCCCAAAATCTGGACTCGGGGACCACTTCTCCTCTGGGGTCAAAGCACGGTGTCCTCCCCCCACTCCTTCAACTGCAGGGGGCCAAGAAAAGCCCCCTCCCTTCTTGAGAACAAGGTCTCTGGACTGCACTGGCCCCTGTTTCCGCCCAGCCCCATCTCTCCAGAGGGGCAAAGACCCCCGACCCAATCAACGGAATCTTCTTTCTCCTCTGCAGGGCCCCGCTGGATCCCCCGGCCCTGAGGGACGGCAGGGGGTGAAGGGCAAGAAGGTGAGTGGGGCTTCCTCTGGGTGGGGAAGTCACCATGCCCACTAGAAGGAGGGGGGCTGGGCTGGGCCTTCCGGATGGCATCTAAAACTCCCTCCCCCTCCTCTCCCTCGCAAGGGGCCTTTACTCCTCACTGAAGGGTCTTTTCCAGGCAGAAAAGGGAGGGGGGAGATGAGAGGTCAGGAAGGATGGGGGTCCCAACTGCAGCGAAGGGGGCAAGGCTGCTATTGAGCAGGGGCTCCCAGTCCTCTTCTTGGGCCCCAGAATTGGGGAGGGGGCCTGCCCAGGCTGCGCTGGCCCTCTCAGCTGGTGCTCTGCTGGTGCCTCCCTCTGGACCAGAAGCTGAAGGGGACTCCATCCTGAGTGGGCATCGCAGGGTGTGCGAGGGTGGAGGGACCTTAGAGGTCATCCAATCCAACCCCATCAAAGCTGGAAGGAGCCAAGCTAAGCCCTCTCCTCTCCTACGGGCGCTTTCTCCCCTCGGTCTGACCATTATCCCACCCTAACTCTGCCCTCTCCAGGGAGAATCGGGAGTCCTCGGGCCCCCTGGCAAAACGGGGGCCGTGGGGCCCCAGGGGACACCTGGAAAACCCGGCATGGAGGGCTTGAGAGGCGTCCCTGGATCTGTGGTAAGAGGGGCAGGAGCTGCCTCCTTGCTTGGGGGGCTGTCCGGCTCATGCTGCGGGTAGGAGGCTGGGAAGGCTGGGGGGGCCAAAGGGAGCCCCTTTCAGAATCATGGACCCTTGGAGGATGGGGCGTGTGTCCGAGTTCTTAGGGGTCAGCAGGCAGCCCCAATTCCCTCCCTGAAGGGGGGCCGACATTCAACTCTCGGTCTTTGGCCTCTTGCAGGGGGCGCAAGGCAAACCAGGGGCCACGGGCCAGGCTGGGCCCCCAGGGCCTACGGTGAGTAGCCACCCTTTTTTGGGGGGGACCAAATGGGTGAGTAGGGGGGATGTCAGCCACCGGAGGTGCTTAAGCTTCCTTGGGGTGTTTCTTCCCGCAGGGCCCCCCTGGACTGCCTGGCCTGAAGGGCGAGACGGGCCCCAAAGGAGAGAAGGTAGGAGGGGCCAGGCGAGCTGGGTTTGGCCCTCGCCCCGGGTGAGCAGCCTTCTGGGGAAGGGGAGGGAGCCCCCCCACCTGCTGACCCCCCCCTCTGTCTCCCCACAGGGCCACCCGGGACTCATCGGCTTGATTGGACCGGCCGGAGAGCAAGGAGACAAAGGGGACCGAGGGGCCCCTGGCCCCTCAGGGAGTGGGGGTCTTAAAGGAGAGACTGTAAGTGCTGGGGGGGAGGGGGGCTTGGGAGGGGGCTTAAGGGGCAGGGAGCAGCTTAACTCCCCCTTGCTCTCTCCCTGCAGGGCATCCCTGGACCGACGGGCCCTCTTGGCCCCGCGGGGCCCCCTGGACTTCCTGTGAGTAGCACCTGACCCCCCCCCACCCCTGAGCCCCCTTACGCCTCCTGAACAGAGACCCCCACCTCTCGCCTTCTCTTTCAGGGGTCTCCCGGTCCTCAGGGCGCCAAAGGAGCCACGGTGAGCTTGGGGGGGTGGGGGATGGGGGGTGGGAGGAGCGAGGGGGGGGAGAGAGAAAAGGGAGGAAAGTCTCTCCTTGAGGACTAACCTCTTGGCGATTTGATTCCAGGGTGAAGCTGGACCCAAAGGACAACGAGGCGTTACCGGGCCCCCTGGGAAGCCGGTAAGATCCGACTCCACCCTGCCTCAGTTTCCCCTTGGCAGAGGAGATCCAGGAGAGGGCTGGGAGGTGCCTTTCTTTGTTTTTAGCCCCAGTTTTTCCAAATCTGCCTTAAAAAGTTTCCTAAAATATTTAAAATAGCAGGAATAAGAATAAGAATAAGGCCCTGGGAGCACTTCAAAGGCTGAGAGTGGATCCTGGCCAAAGAGTTCATTGGATTATCTGATTATTTTATTTTTTAAATGTACATATGGGAAGTCCTCGACTTATGACCAAATGTCCATTGCTAACTGAGACAGATGTTAACTGAGTTTTGCCCCATTTTACAACCTTCCTTGCCACCGTCCTTAAGTGAATCACTGCAGTTGTTAACTTAGTCACACGGTCGTTAAGTGAGTCTGGCTTCCCGGTTGGCTCTGCTGGTCAGAAGGTGGCAAAGGGGATCACGTGACCCCGGGAAACGACAACTGTCATAAATACAAGTCAGTTGCCATGTGTCTGTATTTTGATCATGTAACCACGGGGATCTGTGATGGCTGTAAATGTGAAAAATGTCACATTTTTAGGGCCGTTACAACTTCAAATGGTCACTAAATGAAGTGTTATAACTCGAGGAATACCTTTAATCAGGGGTGAAATGCTCCCGGTTCGGACCGGATCACCTGATCCGGTAGTGATGGCGGTGGGTGGTTCAGAGAACTGGTAGCAAAAATCCCTGCAGCCCCCCCCCCCACCATGCCTAGCTGAGCCACACAATCATCAGAGGCTTTTTTTTTTTTTACTTTTAAAAGCATTTTGTCTACAACCTCTTCCCACGAAAAAATTTTAAAAGTAAAAAAAAAAGCCTCCGATGATCATGCGGCTCAGCTGGGATGGTCAGAGGCTTTTCAAAGCATTTTTTTCTGCAACCTCTTGGCGGAAGAGGAGGTTAAAAAAATGCTTTGAAAAGTCTCTGACGATCCCAGCTGAGTTGCCTGATCGGCAGAGGCTTTTCAAAGCATTAGAAAAAATGCTTTGAAAAGTTTTTTTTAAAAAAGTTGGCCACGCCCACCCAGTCACATTACACCCCCCCACACCAAGCCACGCCCACAGAACCGGTAGTAACACATTTTATATTTCACCCCTGCCTTTAATACCACCTTTAATCCAAAGCAACTTTTGACCTGGTTCACACCATTTTCGCAACCCAGCTGTTTCCTGGGTTCAGGCAAGATACAGGGAGTCCTCAACTTACAACAACATCACTGAAAAAAGTGACTTAGGACCATTTTTCACACTTACGACCGTTGCATGGTCACATGATCAAAATTCAGGCAATTGGCAACTGACTCAAATTTATAATGATCGCAGCGTCCGGGATCACATGATCCAGGGGTGAAATGCTCCCGGTTCGGACCAGGTCACCCGATCCGGTAGCGATGGCAGTGGGTGATTTGGAGAACCGGTAGCAAAAATCCATGCCCCTCCCCAGCCCTTGCCTAACTGAGACGCGCGATCATCAGAGGCTTTTTAAAAAACTTTTAAAAGCATTTTTAAAATGCTTTTAAAAGGCTCTGACGATCCCAGCTGAGTTGCCTGATCGTCAGAGGCTTTTTTTTTCTTTTAAAAGCAAAAAAAAAAGCTTTTAAAAGAAAAAAAAAAGCCTCTGACGATCCCAGCTGAGCAATGCGATCCTCAGAGGCTTTTAAAAAACTTCTAATAGCAATGCTTTTAGAAGTAAAAAAAAAGATTGTGTGCCACAGCTGATCACTCCCCCCCTCGCGCGCTGTTCTACTTACCGCCTGCCTCCTTTTGGCCTGCACTGCGTGTGAGCACCTCGCATTTGGTGCATGGTGCGCACTGCACATGCGCAGCCAGGGAACCGGTAGTAAACGGGTTCAGATTTCACCACTGACGATCCAAGTCAAGGCCAAAGCCGGATTCCCTTAACAATCATGTTGCTAACTTATCAACAGCGTTGATTCACTTAACAACTGCGGCGAGAAAAGTCATAAAAGGGGGCAAAACTCAACAAACGTCTCACTTAGCACCATAAATTTTGGGCTCCATTGTGTTCGTAAAGTGAGGACTGGCCGGGTGGCTCCAACCTGCTTGAGGCGCCCCACGGGAGCCTGGAGCGTTGTGTGAACGGGCGTAACTTCTTGGGCAGGGTCCGCCGGGCGAGGCCATCCAGCCGCTGCCCATCCAGCGCCACAAGAAGAGCCGGCGCTCGGTGGACGGAAGCCGGCTGGTGGAGGAGGAGGAGGAGGAGATGGCGGCCGACGGGGCAGCGGGGCAGCCGGCCTCCCGGCGCGTGGAGGAGATCTACGGCTCCCTGGAGTCCCTCCGCCAGGAGATCGAGGGGATGCGGAAGCCTCTGGGCACCCAGGACAGCCCTGCCCGCACCTGCCAGGACCTCCGGCTGAGCCAGCCTGAACTGCCCGACGGTGGGTGTAACGGGATAACAGAGCTGAAAGGGACATCTGAGGTCTTCTAGCCCAACCTCCTGCCCGAGCGGGAAACCCTTTCTGACAAAAAGCTGTCCGGTCTCTTCTGGAAAAAAGGGCTGCTTGCTTCCCCCACGGTGATTCCCGGCCCCCCCCTCCTGAGAGGCTTCTGTCCTGGGGGCAGTGGTGCAATCCCTTTGCCACCGGGGCATTGTGCCATGGACTACATTGATGGGACAGCCGCTGGGGCCTTTGTCAAACCCAGAAGCTGCTGGACTAACTACAACACCCAGCAGCCTTTTCCAGCAGAGGAAGGGGGCAGCCCCAGGTCCTCAGATCTGTCCCCCCCACCTCCTCCGTGCCTGGACCCCACCCAGGGTTCTCCCCGTAAGACCTCTGGGGCACCTGTGGAAGCCAAACAGGAAATCCTGGGGGGGGGGGAATATATACACCCCAAATCACCACCATCAAACGGCGCCCTCTCTTTTTGGGGGATGGGTTTGCAAAGGGGCCACTGGAGTCATGGGACGCCTCCCCCCCCCAACTAAAGGCTCAGTGGGGAATTTTGGCCCTTCCTTCTTCCCAGGCGAATACTGGATCGACCCCAATCAGGGCTGTTCCCGCGACTCCTTCAAGGTCTATTGCAACTTCACGGCGGGGGGCGAGACCTGTGTCTTCCCCAGCTGGGAGTCTCGAGAGGTGAGGAGGGGGCCCTGGGAGGGAGCCTGCTGCCCCCCCAAGCAAATGCTGAAAACTGACGTCCCCATTTCTGCCATTGGGGGGTGGGCAGTTTATGAAAATGAGGATGGGTCCTGAAATAGGGAATCCGGTGGCACTCCTGGCAATGTTAGGCTGACCCTCCTAGGGTGGGAAAGCACCTAGTTTGGGCACCCCTATGTTGCTCCAAGTGGCTGTGGTGGGCACAGCCTGTCCGGGCAGGGGGCAGAGGCTGCGTTTCAGGGTGAAGGGTTTTGCACAAGCATCTTCCGGCCGAGGCTGCAGTTCTGTGGTTGCCTCTTGGTCTCCCATCCAGGTACTAACCAGGCCTGGCCCTGTGAAGACCAGGCCGCCTTTGAATGGGGCAGAGTGGCTGTGGGTCTCAGCCCCATGGATCAAGCCCTCGGGTGTGTGTGTGTGTGGACCCCTTTAGAAAGCCAAGGGGCAGAATTTGCCTTTGGGGCCAGCCAGGACAAGGCCCCGCTGCTCTTGGGTGCCCCCCTCTCTCTCCGGGTCAGAAAGCACTTGCTTCGGCCCCTCCTGGCTCAAGAAAGACCCCCAATTTCCTGAGCCCCCTCTCCGTTTGCAGGTGCCAATGGCTGCGTGGGAGGAGGAGACGCCCCCAAGGTGGTTCAGCCACTTCCAGAAGGGCCGTCGGGTGAGTCCCCTGGCTGGAGGGCGGGGTGGCTGCAATGGGTCCTCCCCCTCGGTCTCTCGCCTGAATCTCTCCTCCTGGAGGGTGTTGGAAAGACACGCAGCAAAGAGGGCGCCGATCCCAGGATTCCTGGGCTGGAGGGGTGCCTGACTGCAAAGCTTGTGATGGGGAGACCTCTTCCTTGGGGGGGGCCTCTGGGGGGAGGCGAGGAACAGGGGCTTCCACCGGGAAATCCTCCTTCCGTAACACACTGCCAACCATGGTGGCCACTCAGCGGCTCAGTCCTTGTGCTGCATTCACGCAACACCCCAAATTGCATTCCGAAGGACCTGGAGTGACTTTTGCGAAACTTGCCAAGCCTGGGCGGGGTGACTCTGGGTGTGTGTGTGTGTGTGTGTTGGGGGCAATTGACTTCATTTTTCTTGGAACTTGATGAGTTGTGTGAACGCAACCCTTGCTTGATGCTGGATAGGGACACCAACACAGTCAACGTGGTTCCCCAGGGCTGTGCAAAAGGATCTGTGCAGTGAGGTGGAGGAGTGACAGAAACCCCTGAAGGCCATCTAGCCCACCTTCCCGCTTGGGAGAGCAGTCACCCCACCCCCAAGATCCTCACCTCCCCCTCCTCCCCGGTCCCTCCCCAGTTCTCCTACGTGGACGCGGATGGCCGCCCGCTGGGCGTGGTGCAGCTCTCCTTCCTGCGCCTGCTGAGCACCTCTGCCCGCCAGAACTTCACCTACCACTGCCAGCACTCGCTCGCCTGGCACAGGTCGGGGTCCCCCGCCTTGGAGGGTTACCAGCAGGCCCTGCGTTTCCGGGGCGCCAACGAGGACGACCTGAGCTACGACAACAGCCCCTACGTCAAGGCCCTGGTGGACGGCTGTGCGGTGAGCACCCGGGAGGGGAACAACCGCAAGGGAGGGCGGAGGACAGGACTCCCTACTCAGAGAGGGCAGGACGGAAGGCCTTGCCCCTTCCCTCCTCACCTGGATGGATTCTGGGGGTTTCTCCCACTATCGGGTGCTGGTGATACGACATTCCCACCTTCCTGACAGGTGGACGGCTGGTGGAAAGCAGGGCTCCTGGCTTTCCTTTGGGGAGGGGGGCAGTGACCCGCCTCCAGCGGTGACCCTTCTCTTCCCTCCCCAGGCACGGAAAGCATCTGGCGAGACACTCCTGGAGGTCAACACCCCCCAAGTGGAGCACCTGCCTTTGCTGGACGTGCACCTGACGGACTTTGGGGAGCCCGGGCAGCGCTTCGGCTTTGAGGTGGGGGCCGCCTGCTTCCTTGGCTAGAGCAGAGACCCCAGAGCAGCCGGCAGGAGGAGGACGACCACCTTCCTGGTGCCCACCAAACAACAGAGAGCATGGGTGGGGCGGGGTTGGGTTGGGGGGAGGATCAGCCAGTGGCCCAGCAACTGGGAGATCGATGGGGCGCAGAGACACCCCCCTCCTGAGGATTCACCAGTCATGGGAATGTTCTCCCTCCAAATTCTCTCCTCTCTGCACCCCTCCCCAATGCTACTGAACCCCCCCCTCCCTGCCAAATCCCCCACAGGGCTCTGACCCCCCTCCTCAGATGGACCTCATCCTGCTTCAGTGCTTCCTTCCATCCATGCTGATGGAGACACCCCCCCCCCCCGCAAATAGCAGAGTCCTTAGTCAGCAATGGACACCCCCCCACTAAACCCCACCTGAGCCCCACCTACTTCAGCCCTTTCCGGCCCCACGGAGGGCAACTTCAACCTTGCCCCCCTCCCCTTGAATTGGGTGGCAGGCTTGGAAATGGGGTGGGCTTCCACATCGTCCAAGGAAAGCCCCCCCCAGCCATTTCTCTCTTCTTCCTCTCCCTCCCCACCCCCGTCCACCCCTCCCCCCATCCTTTATCCCGCACAAAAGTAATTGGCAAGAAGAAAAAAGTCCAAAGAAGAAAGAGGAACCCATATATTTTATTTTGTTTTTTATACAGAAAAAATAATAATAAATTAATTATATTATTTAATGGAATCAATATTAAAAAGAACCTTTTTTTCCTTGCTGCAAATTTGTAATCTTGAAAATGGGTGTGTGTGTGTTGGGGGAGGGGGGAAGTTCCGTGAGTTTGAGATCCCACTTTTGCGTGCAGGAAATTTAAAGAAATATATTGAATTTTCTATTGGTCGGCTGAATGTCCAACCAACCAATGATTGGGTTGGAAAGAGCTGACATAAGGAATGTTGGACAGATCACCCTATATTTTGCTGATTTGTGGGGGGGTCCCACTTCCTCTTTCCCTGCTTTAAAGGGAAGGTCCCTCAATGCCAGGTGCGGCCCCCCCCACTTATGGGTTGTGGACCAATGGTTCCTGCCAATGATGCCTCCCCACCTGCCCAGATCAGTCCCACCATCAGAGGTGCCCAACCATAGCCACTTTAGGACTTGTGGACTTCAATTCCCAGAATTCCCCAGCCAGCATAGCTGGCTGGGGAATTCTGGGAGTTGAAGTCCACAAGTCTTAAAGGGGCCAAGGTTGGACACCCCCGTTTTGGAACGCACTACATTCCTGAGAGAGGGGCTGCATCCTGTTTCAGAAGCACTTTTTCTGCTTTCGAGTTGTGTGACTGCGGAACCACAGCTGATGTGGGAGAAGGGAAGGAGGGGCCAAAGCCATCGAAAGGAGGCCGCCATCATCATCGCATCTTGTGGTGGGGAGTTCCACAAACTTACATCTTGTATTGAGGGTCTTCTCAAAACCTCTCTGGATAAGAATGGAATACAGTTGGTCATTAACTTATGGCCGCTCGTTTAGTGACTACGTTGTGACAGTGCGGAAAAGCGTGACTTACAACCAGTCCTCACACTTACGACCATGGCAGCATCCTCGTCGCAGTCGTGCGATTGCAATCCGGGCGCTTAGCTTGGCATTTGTGACCACTGTGTCTCGTGATCGCCACTGGCAGCCTTCCGACAACGGCGAAGCCAGCGGGAAAGACGGCAAACGGCAGCTGCCGACCCCTTGCTTAAACCACGGCTAAAAATGGTCGTAAAATTGGATGCGGTCACATGTGACACCTCACTTAATGACTGGGTGGCCTGAGGCTGAATTTGCCAGTCCCAATTGTGATTGTACACTGCAGACTGCCTGCATCTGGCACCCAAAGAATTGTGACGTCACCAATCCGCGGAATGTTAACGGCACTGAAAAAAAGGGACACGGCCGTTTTTCACACAACTGTTACAGCATCCCCATGACCAGGCCATCGAAATTCAGCCACTGGGTGACTATATGACGGACGGAGAGTCCCGGGATCACATGATCCCTTTTTGCGATCTTCTGACAAGCAACGTTAATGGGAAAACCAGATTCAATTTACAACCGTGTTACTAATTTAATAAGCAGTGATTCACTTAACAAACGTGGAAAGAAAAGTTGTAAAATCGGGCAGAACTCTGTCTCACTTAGCAATGGAGATTTTGGGCTCAATCTGAGGACTCTGTGCTCCAGCTCATGTGACACACACTCACCAACCCTGAACAAGAGCAGCCACCAGCAAGCTGCTCCCGTGGGGATGGTAGGGGGGGTGGGTGGGGAGTGTGGGTGAGTCTGGCCCCCAATTCCGTTGCCCCCCACTCCCCACTGGATTCCAGGGAGGCCGCCTGAGTCAGAAGAGAGTTTATTCACAGGACTGTACAAGGGGAAGGGGGCTTTGGGGGGTGGCTCTGCCCTCAGAAGTTGGGCCGGTGCTTCTTCACCTCGACCATCAGGTGGTGGATGTTGATCAGCTCCGAGCGGACGGGCAGCGACTTGAGGGGGGGCAGCGCCAGGACCTTGTGGAAGCGGTGGTAGTACTGGATCAGCTGTGTCAGCGCCCCCTGCAGGTGAAGGTGAGGCAGTGAGGAGGAGCTCGGCCCCGCCTCTTCCCCGGGCCCTGCCTCCTCCCTGGCCCCACCTGAATGATGGTGGTCCCGTTCTTGAAGTTGGTGAAGGAGCGCATCACGTCCTGGCTGAGGGTCTCCACCGAGGCCTTCCAGGTTGCGGCGAAGCCGCGCACCAGCTGCGTCACTCGGGCTGCGGGGCAAGGAGGGGGGAGTGAGCGGCACCAGGACCCCTTCCTCCTGTTCCTCACCCCCCTGGAGTCTGTGCCCCCCACTCACCTTCCTCTCCTCGCAGGCGCTCCAGCTGGCCCCGTTCGGCCAGCCCCTCCACCTCCTTCACGAAGGCAATCATGCCCCCGAACCCCGGGGCCAGGAGCTCCTCGATGAACTCCTGCCAGGGAAGGGGGAGGGTGAGCTCAGCTGAGACAGAGGGACCCCCTCCCCAAGGCTCACCTCAGGGCATGGGGCGCCCCACACTCTACCCACTGAATACCTCAACTTCCTGACTCTACACAGGGAGAACGTATCAGTCCTGCATCTGAGCCAGCTCTGCGTCAGCGCCTGGTGTGTACCCCAAACACCTCTCCCCCGTTACCCCAGGGGAGGGAAAGGTAGGACCCTCACCCCTGAGATGTGGCTGGAGACCCCCCCCCCGGCTTCTTGGAGATGGGGAGGGGGCCTCCTGAGAATGGAAGCTGCAACACCTGCTCCCCCCGACCCACCTGTGTTCGGGCATTCAGCAGCTGCTGGAACCCATCCACCTCTTTGCTCTCCTCCACCGCTCGCTCCTGGGGAGGGCAAAGGGGGCAGACATGAGGGGGAGGGAGACTTTGCCCTTCTAACCCTCCCTCCTCTCGCTGGGCACCCCCCTCGGCAGCCTGCATACCATCAAGACACCCAGCATCATGTCGTAGTTGTTGATGAGGAAGATGAGCTGTTCCGTGCGGGAGGAGAATTCAGCCGCCACACGCAGGACAAAGTTCTCCACTTCGGTCTGGGGGGGGGATGGGAGGGGGGGAGAAGCAGGGAGCATCAGAGGAAGGCCCACCCCCACCTCCGGACCAGCCCCACCAATATTAGGAAATGCAAGAACACCCCCCTCCCCCCAATTCTAGGAGGTGCAAGACGCTACACCCAACGGGCAGGCTGAGGCCAGAGGTTAGCCAGACGGGCCAAGGAGAGGCAGGATGGAGGCCCAGCCCCTCCCCCTCCCAGAGGACACCCCCCACCCTTCAGTCCCTGGCTGCATCTGGCATGCAGAGAACCAGGAAACCAGACAGTTCAGAAACCTTTGCTACCCTGTGGGCGATGCCCCATGCAAAGAGCCAGGGAGAGGAAAGGTCCCCTGGAGGCACCTATTTGGGGAGGGGAAGGGTCTTCAGCAGCACTGACGGGCTGCTCCCCTTGCAAGGAGGGTCTCTCCTGTCCCGAAGAAAAGCCCACCTGGAGCTGCCCCAACAGGGCCAAAGTTCGCTCATGGGGGAAAGTCTGGTTGATGCTGACGATGGCCGAGGAGAACTCTGCGTACCGCCGGGTGATCTGTGGGTGGAGTGGGGGGGGGAATGGGAGTTCAGGAGAGCGGAGAAGTGGGATTAGGGGCCTCTGGGCTCCCCAGACACAACCACGGAAACTCCCTCCTTCCTGCCCGGACCACAGGCAGGCGAGTGTCCTGGCATCCCTGCCGGCCCCTCCCCAGCTCTGCTCCAATCCACCGCCAGCTCCCCCCCATCTCCACTGCCAGCTCCCCCCCAATCTCCAGCAACTTGGGGGCTGTTTGGTCATAAGTCCACCGCGCCTGTTCAGCCCTCCCTTCCTGAGGGGGAGTGCCGCTCCCGCGCACACATACGTAGTGGGGCCGCGTGTCGAGGAAGCCCAGCTTCTGAGGGTCCGTGCTCTGGATACTGTGGATGTTCAGCTCCAGGATGTACTCAAATCGCGGCCAGAGCAGCTCCAGCAACGTGTCCCAGTATCTGGAAGGGGTGCGTGTGAGGGGGGAGCGTCACCCAGACAGAAGACCCCCACCTGACCCCCACCAGCCCTGGCTGGCCGAGGGAGAGCCTTGGGAAGGGAAAGAGGGGGCTCACTTGTCGATGGCCGGGACGTTGCGCTTGGCCACCAGGGTCTTGAAGCGAAGGACGATGTGGATGCAGAGAAAGACGGCGATGCTGTCGTAGCAGTCGCTCACGTAGGCATCCATGTGCTTCTGCGGGGGGAGGGAGGGAGGAAAGATGCATGGGAGGGGCCCCCCACCTCTCGGACCCCACCCCTCCCAAAGGGTTCTAGGACCGCGGGGCCCCTCTGGAGCCAGGCGTGAAGGTCCCGTGAAGGCCCCAGGGCCAGAAGGATCCGGAAAGACACGGATAATGGGTGCCTCCAAGTTATGCCTGAAATTTCGATTATTTTGAGTTCCTTGCCGACAAAATCGAGGAAGAACACCAGAAAAGCAGAGTCGGAAGGGACCTCAGAGGTCTTTCAGTCCAACCCCCTGCTCAAGCAGGAAGCCCTGGGCCATTCCAAACAAGGGGCTGTCCAGCCTCTCCTTAAGAAACCTCCAGTGATGAAGCACCCACAACTTCTGGTGGCAAGCTGTTCCACTGGTTAAGTTCTCACTGTTAGCAAGTTTCTCCTTAATTCCAGGTTGCTTCTCTTCTGGATTAGTTTCCACCCATCGCTCCTTGTCCTGCCTTCAGGTGCTTTGGAGAATAAGTTGACCCCTCCTCTTTGCGGCAGCCCCTCAAAGACTGGGGTACTGTTATCAAGTCCCCCCTAGTCCTTCCTTTCATCAAATTTTAGTAAGGAGCTTTGACTCCCCCCAAGGGAGGGAGCCCTCCTGGTCTAGCCCCCCCCCCATCGGACATGGCTGCAGATGCTCACGAGGAACATGGTGAGGGTCTTGCCCATGATGGCGTTGAAGAGGTCCAGGGCGGGGGTCCCGGCCACCAGGAAGAAGTCGCAGAGGAAGAGGTATTCCCGGCAGCTGTTGTCCAGCAGGGCGTAGTGCTGGCTCCGGAAGAGGGACTCAAAGGGATACTGCGCAGAGGAGGGGGGGGGGGAAGGCAATGCTGGCAGGGCCGAAGGGGCAGGGCCCTCGGGACCCCCAGCCCACCCCGGCTCCACCACCTCCCTCCTCCACAAAAACCCATTTCTTCCCA